GTTAGAGAACCATTGGAAAACCGGGGAGTATTGGACAGCTATTTCGTCCTAGTTTGGGACTCTTCATCAGTACGCACCCACCACAGCGGTTCCAACACAGGACCTTCCTGTTGCAAGGCGAGCTAGCTCGTAGTCCATTGAGCCACTGGGACCCGACCCAATGGTTCTTGAATTCTAACTTCTGCCGATTCACGACATAGCGCGACCGCTAGCCAATGTCTTCGGTGGCGAGTTTTTGTCCTCGCACTCGACCCGCTGACTGGTTCTCTTACTAATGTCAGATCATGATGAAATCGTGAAACTTATAAATCTGTTAAGCTCCTTACTTTGATTCTTGAATACAAAATAGCCATATGATAAAGCCAACTTTTAAGCCTATGCAAAATAGATAAATATTGACTACTACTCAGTTTCTGAATAAATAGGTGTGTTTAGTGCAGTTCCATTGACACGTATCTAAGGAGAATTTAATTGAATCGACTGGCGAACAAGTTAAAAATTCAACGCAATAACAATTTTATAATGTTAAGCTGAAACAGCTACACTACTTATGTTAGGCGTCAGTACTCCTATATAAAACGTGTATGTACTGTAGGAGACTATATTGTTTATTTCAGACCTTCTCATTTACTTCTAAAAGTCTGTTTGTCATGATGCTATTTACATTATTCACATTACAAGGCTATATCACCTTTAGGATACTAAAACCAAACTGACGAGTATGTATGTAAGTCGATCCCATGCCGTCGCACACCTGGTATCCCTATGGTCAGCCTGCGAAATTTGGCTATTGATATCACATACTGAAGATTACATACCTGTATAAAAAAATACAGTGTGGAATCAAGCTGTAATCAAAAATTAAAAAAATAAGATAGTATATACGGAAAATTTGCTGAACAAGACATCAGAAGTGTTGGCGTAAAAACCAGTGCAACACCAGCTACTACATTAGAAACTATAATATCTAAAATGAGTAGAAATTATTGAGAAGAGTTTGAGAATAAAGCCAATTCAGGTAATCAGTGAATCGTCTAGCCAGAATACTAAAATTATCTGTGAATATCAAGTGAACTTGAACTGTTTTGTTTTCACCTCACCTCTTCCTCATACTGACTGTACTGACTGCACCTAATGTGTAATTAGTAGATAAGCTTTATATTCACTTGCGTCTCCAGTGGAATATATATGGCTTCAAGCTAGAGGGTTGAAGCATTGGTAGCAAGGGTTTTTATTTTTTTTTTATATTACTAGCCTCACACCCAACCTTCCCTCTTTACCAGTTTTATTATTCTCTTAGCAAGGTAAAAGAGTTAGTCGAACCTTAAACCACATGAGTGGTTGGCGAGTATTCTAACGCTGAACTACTGACGAATAATCAATAAGCTCAGTAGATTTCTATTTAATCAGTGTACAATTAATTCAATACACTTGGAATCTCAAAGAAAGTTAACAGTAGCATCTAGTGCTTTGATTGAAACTCAGATTGAAACTCAAGTCAAATTTAGTCTTCAGTAGAACTTCAACACCAGACTTTACTTAGTAACAACAGAAATATGTATTGAATTGTGGCATCCACACAAGTTGATTCAGTTAATATGAGTTTTTGTCCATGAGGAGAAAACAGACTGTGCAATCATTCATTCGCTTACTGAGTGATTCTCGGATTATTTCTTTGAAAGTTTGTCAGATAGTTAGGACCGACAAACTGCTTCACTACAATCGGGCAATCTGGATGAGATCGGATCATGGAATTTGTGGGGATTTCAGATTAACTTCAGTCGTTAGATTTTCGTCACGAACTAAAATCAGTTAAAAAAGAAACCCACTGAAAAAAAAATGAAAGAACCGGATAGTTGTTTCTCCCTGTGTTGAGACTGTTCGCCAGTGCGAACCCACCATGGATCGAGCACGTGACCTTCAAGCTACGAGATCAAGCTCGTTGACCATTCGATCCCCGGCGGGGTGTTGGGTGCTCACTATCGAAGAGTCAAAAATAGGGTGAAACAACTGTTCAGTACCCATGTAAGTGTCACCAAATTGTAGTTTTATGCTTAAAACCGTCAGCCTTTGACGAGGTAGGTGATATGACTAACTACAACTGTAAACTCTTGTTCACTTCCTGTTTCGATATTAGATATGAAGTGGAGTCAGCCAACAAGAATCTATGGAACTGAGATGTGACGAAACTAACAGCACAGTCTCTTAACTTCGTTTAAACACTAGTAACTATGGTGATGTGTCTAGTCCTTTGTTTAATGCAGACTGAATTCTAACAATCAGAAAATCCCCCTTACCGTATATAAAAGACATCTAAGAAATCAGTGCAGCATACTCGTTAAACCTTTAGGAATTGATGCAACACACATGTTGGTTCGAATCTCAGAAGGAGGGACATGAGTTCCTTCAAGGTTGCAGATACGCCTTGCTGACTGACTGGTGAGTGCCAACTAGCACGAAACCTTGGGTCTAGGTAGGGTTTCCTGTGGCCGATTGCCTCCAGCCATCTAATACAGTCTCTTATCTTCTAGTGTATCCCAGCGCTACTAGGCTTATTCTACAGTTAACCTAGACGGTACTGGGTTTGTGTATTCTTTGAGTTTATGTGTACTTTCTAAGTGAAAAGTCGATGATGAAGCTTGATTTCCCCACCTCCCCCGGGTGTTTAAATTCAGTATGCCTTTTTCATAAAATGTATTGTATCACATAAATCTCATACATTATTCTGTTAGATTAACAAAACGAAAAATTTAAAAGCACCGCTACGTCCATTACAAGAAATTCCTAAAGAGGTAGTCAAATATCACACAGTGATTGTTTATTTTAATGTCGGTGTTATAACCTGTTAGTTATCACTGTTGATTTTAGTTGGGTTATTTGTTTCTTGGTATGCAAGAATTCATTTGTTGAATTTCTCGTTATTGTTTAAGTTAATAAACGCTTTGTTTTTTGTAAAAGAAAACGATGCTTTTTTTGTGTGTGTGAGTGTCTTTCCTTTGAAATTTTACTTTATTTACCGTTTTGATGAACATCATGTTAGCTGTTCACTAACTGAACTATTAGTCTAATCGTGTGTTGTTTAAGTGTATTCTATCTGCCCACCACCACTCGTTAAAATGCATAAACGAAGGTGTTAAGCTCTGGTATATGGAAATGAGCAGCCTATCCTGAATTACACTACTATTATTTTGCAATACGTAAGCTGACTTTCTCTCTTCAGTGAATCGTTTCCTCATTACAAAAATAACTCGTATAAGAAGCATTCTAGTTGGAATCATTCAATAACAATAACAATAACAATTTCGCTTTATTCCAGAAACAGTACTTGTGGTACAGTGTGGAATTTTCAGCACATATCTACAATATTGCATCTAATTTCATCGTACATTTAAAAGGAGTATTATAAAAAAAAAATATTTAAAAAAACAAAAAAACAATAACAATAAAAAACCAAAAAAGAAACACAGAAATAACAAAAAAAATGCAATAAAAATACCAAGTAAGAAGGAAGATAAACACAAATAATGAAAAAATATTTCAGTATTGGTTAGTGGAAGCTACGATATGAGTATGCGTGGTGAACAGTAACAGCTATGATCATACGGGAAATTATGAGATGTTCTTAAAAATGTTTATAGCCATGATGATCAGTTAATTTGATTGAACTACACTAAGCAATCATAAGATAAACATTTCAGGTTGTGTTTTTTTTATTGTCAGCACTAATGCAGTGTTTGTAGTGGTAGTGTGAGGAATCACGCATAATTCACATGAAGTATCTCTTCTTTTCTCCTCTCACTCCAGACTCCTCCCCCACGCGTTTTACTGTAAATGTTTGATACAACTGTAGTTTCGAAACGCTCTTTCCCAAACCATTTCGGAGAAAATAATGCTTTTCGATACATTCATCTAGCAAAAGCAATTCTCTGCGTTCACTTCAACAAACTTAATACAATAATGGTGAAACTCATTAATTTGCTTAACTGTTGAAGGTCTTTTCTACCTTTTAAATCCATGGGAAATTCCCATTAGGATACTTATAAAAGTCATAATAAGTAACACTTTCAGCTCCCTAATTTCTCTAGTGATGATAAATGATAAAAGCTATGAGCTGTTTAAAATTTTATCAGAAAGATTATAGATTTCGACTCCGATTAGTGTTCATTTGAATCTCAGTGTAAATATATACCAGTTTTTCGTAACTTTCAAGTAGTTAGTAGGTTCCGCCGAATAAACTGTCGTATAATTTAGGATTTACTGATAAGCCGGTTTTTATATATTTATATATATATATATATATATATTCGTAATTACAGTCTGATGAAAGAACTTCCGCTTCATCTTTATTTTTAAATTCATTTGCTTCGTTCAACCTTCCGTCATTTACTACTTTCTGTTTGATCATTTATCTACGATAGTTGTTTTTGCGACTGAAACATGCGCTTGTGTGTAATTTTTGAGCAGGATAACTTATGTTCTATTCATATTTGTGATTGATCTTTGATATACGTATATTTTGACTGTATTGGCCAGCTTCACTTCAGTTTATGGGATACTTGAATAGTAGTCACCTTGAATAGTCACCAGGATTAAGAACTCGAGTTTACTTGTGTTGCTGGTGCTTGTAGCAGTAGAATCAAAGAGAGGCTCATTTCTACCTTATTCGGAACTTGTCAGCTTGGTGGGTGTATGTGTGCTCTCCACTGAGTGATTCTGGCTTTTCTGACACTGTAACTCAGTGTCCACCTCTACCAACACCCCGTAACATTATCAAACATTCTATTAGGCTGGATTGTTTTGTGAACATTTTCACACAATTACAAATTGGAGGATATAATAACCGGAACCACATAAACGTTTTTTGTTTTCAAATTTGTTACTGTAGAGTGTAACTTATACATTGGATATGATACTGCAGTTGAAATCACTACCTTAAAAAAAAATAACAACAGTCAGTAATTTTATTTTTCTTTCTTTCCAATTTATATTTACTTTATTAGAAAGGTATTGGCGATGATATCCTTAGTCGAATTGGCCAGGCAATCGAAAGTTGGTTCATTTTCTCCTTGATATGGTCTGTTGGCGCTACATGCAGTAATGAAGGCCGTATTAAATTTGACGCATTCCTCAGACAGAAAATGAAAGACTTCAAAGTAATTGTGATGCATCTTTTTTTAATCTTTAAATATGAATGATATCAGAGTGAACAGATTGCAGTACAGTTAGTAACAAGTTTTAATAGCTTTTGAAAACTGCTTAGCTTTACTATTAATAGTAGTGTAACGACAGAAGACAGGGTCCAGGCAACAGATCGTTTATTGAGAAAATCAACAAATATTTATGGATTTTTATGTACATTATTATTAGCGTTATTTGTTAGCAGAGAAACAGAGTCTTCTGACTGGTTGTTTTGTTTCACTTAAAGTTATTCTGTCATCTCCCTGTGGCTGTTTCTTAGACAGTCCGTTGACATATCTGCGAATCATATCCTCTCAGGCTAATTCTGCTGGGATTGGTTGCTGAGTTAGTCTTTGTTCTTGTTTTTATCATGACCAAGATTCGGGATGTAAACATTGACGTAAATCGCTGTCTACCAATTTTGGCTAGCAGACCGCTCTCACCACAGTAGTACAAATTGACTGTTTACTACAATTTCACTGGTACTAGATCGTATTTGTCAATAAAAAGTAGTCGTGTGGAAACAAGGCATAAAGGATAGCCTTTATAGACAATAACATCCTATTAAGACGTTTATTTCATATTAAAAAAGCCATTGTTATGCTTTAGGCTTAACCTTGAGCTTACTTCCTCTTTATTAAGCGAACATGTCGTAACCCAGGGAACAGTAATAACAACATACCGTATAAACACCATGAACTGCTGCCACTAAAGCACACTGATTAGAATTTTATGGAAATTTGCATAAAACTTATTTGCATCCCCAGGATCAGTGACAAACGAGATAGCTAAATTTATTCGAAATTTAAACTATGCAGGATAAAAAGTGAGTCTACCATTGTCAAAGTCATTGCGATTGAGATAAACTGGACAGGTCGAACTAGTAAATCGGGGGTAGTCAGATTGTCAGAAGATAAGAACCTCGGGAATTCGCACTGCATGCATTAACACACAGCCACACAATAGAGTGGGAGAGGGTTACAATTCTAATAAAGTAATATGGATAGGTGGGAAGACAGGTTGATTATTGACTGAATGCTTTATTCACAGAATCTACACCCGACCAATCAGATCAAGAGATGAAAAATAATGGATTTATACAAACGAAGTCAGAAAGTTGTGTGAGTAGTGCCTTGATATGATTATGAGCAGTAATGAAAATTGTGCTAGAAATATCATCAGTAAATATTACCGTGAAGCTAGCAAAATAAATTTTACCCATAATGAAATCATACTCTACCACAGTGCACAAATTCGATTTTTATATCAAGGATAAAAATATTCGAATGATGTGCAGCACAGAGAATGGAACATGAAGACAAAAATAAATGTACAACAAATACTGTTTGACCATAAGATGATAATTCTGTCAGAACAAACGGAGTCTTGATATAGTGAATAAGATCAGTTCGAATTGAAATCAGTAACTGTGGTTACACAATAACGAAATGGTAAACAAAATATAAAAGCACATTACTTACTAGTAATAAGTAGTGTAAATCAAAACAAAATGAAAGCATAGTGGAACTAACATATGACTTATGTTGGATATAATGGTAACTTGTATTTAATAACAGATCAGATAGATTAGCCTAACAAAATAGATTTTATTGGTTCATGGAATATTTTAACTTTCTTTCATTTAGAACTATTAAGCTAGTCATTCTGTGGCTATTTTTACTTTGGGGGAGTTCACCATTTGGTTGTATCACTAGACACAAGTTGTTGGATCTCTACAGGAGTGATCACAGAGATCCGCATAAAAGGATAATGTACACCTAAATGACAACGGAGTGAACGAAGAATTTTTACTCCTTTTCAGTAATGCATTTGATTCTTAGTGAATTCAGGTTGCCTATCTCAAGAAAAACTATGTGAAAGACAAAAGGTCTAAAAAGATCTCCATGAATTAAATGAATAATTTTCATTCTTGGAATGAGATGGAAAAGAGCTATAGCTAGCTACTGTAATTGACTCCGGTTTAGAAGTAGTGTGTTCTCTAACCTAGTTGGCTCAGTTACAAAGCCTAGCCAAGTTCACTACACTGTTCTGTGATTAATCTGATGTTGGCTGCAAAGTATTTAACTATAAACTTTTTTTTCTCAGAATATTTTCTCATCTATTTTTCCTTTGTATAGTGTTATCTACCATTCCCTGAAGAAGGATTAGTCTACGATTATCGTTTTGAAGATGATGGTCTTGTGTCACTCAAGGCGAGAGACGATGATGATGAAGACAATTTTGCCAACAGAAAGGTGATAATCAAACTTTAAACAACAACAACAGTAATTTATATACTCTTGCTATACATTCACAGAACCTCGCCAGATACTAGCTTGCTAGGCTACTAGCTTACTAGTTTTCTCGCCAGTCCCATGCCGGGTAAAGAGGGAGGGTTGGGGCGTGGTGCTAGCAACTTCACCCCTGTAAATCAACCAAATCGCTACAGAAACTTCAACGAATTAATATATTAAAAATTCTAAAAATATAAGCAATAGCCTTACTTTTCGCCGGAATCGGGGAAGTGAAATGACGCAGGCCGGTCAAAGCCTTCGGGAAGCCAGTCAGCCGATGTGCCTTCTTTCGATGAAAGCAAAAGTAAGCATGGGTACCTGGAATGTTTGCACAATGTACGAAACTGGAAAGGCTGCCCAGATAGTCACTGAAATGAGAAGGTACAGAATAGAAGTGTTGGGAATCTGCGAGAGCAGATGCAACGGATGTGGAAGGTGCCAACTATCAACTGGAGAGAGACAATAATCTATTCCGATCACCCATAGGATAATCACGAGCACACCGAGGGAGTGGCCATCATCATGTCACCAACACCAACCAAAGCTCTCATGCAGTGGGAATCAATCTCCTCCAGGATAATGACAGCCAGGTTCAACTCAAAAGGAAGGAAAATTACAGTCATTCAATGTCATTGCTATGCGCCTACAAACGTCTAAGAACAAGAGAAGAAGGAGGCGTTCTACAGACAACTACAAGCAATAATGGACAACGTCCCAAATGGCGATATCAAAATCCTGATGGGCGACATGAATGCGAAGCTGGGAGGAGACAACACAGGAAGAGAACTCACCATGGGTCGTGAGGCCCTCGGCGAAATGAACGACAATGGTGGACTCTTCTCAGAATTCTGCGCCTTCAATGATTTGGTGATTGGTGGTAGTGTGTTCAAACACAAGGATATACACAAGACGACATGGATTTCACCAGATGGAAACACCAAGAACCAAATAGACTTCATCTCAATTTCAAGAAAGTGGAGACGGAGCCTACTAGACACAAGGTCAAGGAGAGGAGCAGATGTGGTTTCAGACCACTATCTTGTACAAGGGACTTTCAAGGTGAAACTAAAAGCCTCGAGGATAGCTGGGGATAGACCACAATGCAAGTTCAAAACTCAGAAACTGAAGGACAAAACCACAAAAGACACCTTCACTGCAACTGTCAGAGCAAAGCAGGAAACACTACGCGACATCACTGAAGAATCACGCGTGGAAGAACATTGGAAGTCTCTGAAGGCGATTCTCAACGAAACGTGTTCAACGGTTCAAGGAAGAAAGAAGAGGCAAGACAAGGAATGGCTCTCAACGGACACTTGGAAGCTAATAGAAGAGAGGAGAATGGTGAAAGAGAAAATGATTCAATGCAAGGACGGACAGGAGAAGGAGTCGACGAGCTCAACTTACACAGCTGTGCACTGGACAAAGAAGTGAAGAAGATTGCTAGGAAGGACAAAAGACGATTCTACGACAACCTCGCCACTGAAGCTGAGAAGGTAGCAGGCAAAAGGGACCTGAGGACACTATATCAGATAACCAAATCTCTATCCGGGAAGAGACCAACACAAGCGAAACCTATAAAAGACAGCCAAGGGAACCCGATTGCCAAGGAAGAAAAACAGATTAAACAATGGGCGGATCACTTCAAAGGTCTCTCGAACCGACCATCACCTGCGAACCGTCCAGAAATACCAACAACAGCGCACACAAAACTGCAAGTTGACACCAATCCTTTAACGACAGCTGAAGTCTTGGACGCAATCAAGCTTCTGAAAGCTGGAAAAGCAGCCGGACCAGATGGAATACCCCCTGAAGCACTGAAAGCGGACCCAGAGACTACAGCAGACATGCAGACTCCATTATTGCAAAAGGTCTGGAAGGAGGGAAAGGTGCCTACTGACTGGAGGAAAGGTTACCTCGTGAAACTACCAAAGAAGGACGACTTAGGACTCTGCAAGAACTGGCGAGGAATCATGCTTCTATCGACGCTAAGTAAAATCCTGAGTCGCATCATCCTGGAGAGATTAAAGGACGCACTGGAGACAGAACTCCGACCAGAACAAGCTGGCTGCATTCGGGAAAGTCAGGAAAATTCGTTCTGACCAAATTGCAACTCTAGGCGTCATCATCGAAAAAAGCATGGAATGGCAATCAAACCTCTTCCTCAACTTTATAGACTTTGAGAAGGCCTTCGACAGCATTGACCGTGAAGTAATTTGGAAATTACTCGAGTACTATGGCGTACCCCAAATATTCATCAACCTTATTCAACAGCTGTACGACAACGGAACATGTCAAGTGATCCATAACGGAAAACTCACTCAGTGAGGCGTTTGGAGTAAACACAGGAGTCAGACAAGGGTGCTTACTATCACCAATGATATTCCTAATTGTGGTGAACTGACTGGATTATTCGTCAGACAGTCAGTGGGAAACGAGAAGACAGGAATATCCTGGACTGACGTGAAGAACCTAGAAGACCTGGATTTCGCGGATGATTTATGTTTGATGTCACACACAATCGAAGACTTACAAGCGAAAGACGACAAACTGGTCGAAGAAGCAGCCGGCGAAGACAGGACTCCAAGTGAACATAGACAAGACGGAGGTTATGAAAATAACCAGCCAACAACAACAGCAGCAGCAACATCCAGCGTCAGTCACCATCAACGGTAGGGATTTGAAAGAGGTTACTTCATTCACTTATCTAGGGAGCATCGTCTCAACTACAGGAAGTCGGAACGGACGAGGATGTCAAATCGAGCGAGAAGTGGGAAGGCGAGAAACACATTCATCAGCCTGAAATCAATCTGGAAATCTTCGTCACTCAGCATCACCAACAAAATTCGGTCGGATTTTCAATACAAACGTAAAGTCAGTTCTTCTATACGGATCAGAAACTTGGCGGGTCACAAAGAATATTTCCAAAAGGCTGCAGACCTTTATCAACAACTGTCTTCGCTCAATACTGAAGATCAGATGGCCGGAAAGAATCACCAACAAGGAATTATGGGAACAAACAAAGCAAGAACCAATCGCCAACCAACAAATATGCAGGAGAAAGTGGAGATGGATCGGACACTCGCTGAGGAGACCGCTGGGTGACATCGCGCGTCAAGCCCTCGAGTGGAACCCGAAAGGGAAGTGGCGTGTGGGATGTCTAAGGGTGACATGGAGGAGATCGTGTGAAGAGGAGTTGAAAGAATATGGACTAACATGGATGCAGGCGAAAAGTATAGCAGAAGACAGAAGAAAATGGAGACGTGCAGTTGAAGCCCTATGTTCTACTAGGAACCCAAGGGAGCAATAATAAAAAAATACACATTTACAGTGTGAAATATGCAAAACTTTTAGCATTTTGGGGCTAAACAACGCGTCTAACAGTGTCTAAACTAAACCGTTCAATATAACCAGCACTGAACTTGCCTACTAAGAAGATGAGATAAATGTCTCTGCAGATTAACTGCTGTTATAAGTCAGCTAACTGGAAATCAATCCGCTATTCTTGATAGTCACTGTGACAATAATAGATATGTTGTGGATGTTACTACTAATCACTCCATCTCTGACGTTTATGTTTCTGTATGAGTAATCTATCAGTTAGCCGAGTAAACTTAAATGTCGATGAAGCGGTTGTTATGCCAATCAGTGTGGATAATAATTATACTCATTTTTAGTTGCGTTTCTCTGACATTTAAATGATATCCTTTCACTTTCAATGAGAAATAGTGAAAGTGATCTATGCATATCACATATGGATAAAAGTTGATTGATGATCACCTGTTAAGCAGGTTGATAGGTCAAGCATTCCGGCAACTCGTTTCATTTCGTCAATTTAACTCTCCTAAGCCTATTTATCTTTTGATCTCCTCTAGGGAATTTTTTAGGTGAACCTGTTTGACCGATTTTCAGTAAAAATCAAATTAGATAAATTATTCGCCTATAATATATTTCATCAAAACTATTAGAAGTATTTGATAAAACTGATAACGGCAAAAGCTATAGAGACTTTTGGATACAACGAATTCTCATTCATTATCCTTGTTGAAGTTTCAAAATAATTTGCAAAATAATTAAAGTTCTAAAATGAAATATGTTAAACAGCAGCCACAGTCATCTATCTGATAGGTTGTAATGGAAAAAGTCAAAAGTGAAAATGTGTAACAGACACGACCAGAGACAGAATGCTCATTCTTTTCATCAAAAACTGAATTAACAGTTCAACTTCCCGATAGTCTCAGTCTCTTTAATGTGCTCATCTCTGTTGGTTTATCCTAATTACTTCAGTAAAACGCTGAACAGACTGTCCAGTCATATCTACTTGACCCTCTTCTTTCCAACAGGCATTACTAGTGACAAATTAAGCGTTGTTCATAATCTCTCATCTCCTCCACGACACTCTCGGACGACTCACTCATCATTTCCCATTGAGATTCCACTTGAGCTATGACCTGACGCTCAGTGTCATTCAACGGTCTCCTCAGAGTATGCCCCATACATCTCCATTTACTACTACATATTTGTTGAGCAATCAGCTCTTGGCTGGTTTGTCCATCACAAGAATTTCTTGTTGCTAATTCTTTCTGTCTAGCCATTTGATCTTCGGTATGTAGCCAGCGAAGGCAGTTGTTGATAAATGTATGAAGCTTGTTAGTCATGGTCCTGTAGATACTGTAACGAAACTGTCAGGTTCATTTTGCTCATCTCAGACTCGTTAGTCATCTACTTACTCTGTTTTTGTCAGACTATTTTATTAGATCAAATCTTCTATAATGAGACCTACTCACGTTTATAATTTTGTATAGAATGACAAATTACTAACTCTGCATTTTATGTATATATGCTTATAATTTATAGATGCATTGGGTTCATTGGATGGCGGATATGCCAGAATTTAAAATAGCACCAGAAGTCCGTTATTCAGATATTATTGTCCCAACAATAGATAATGTTAGATCAAGTCATATTATTGAAATGCTTCTATTAGCTAAAAAGCCAGTGCTGTGTGTCGGTCCGACTGGGACTGGCAAGTCGATGACAATATTACACAAATTAACGCGTTATATGCCTAAAGAATACATACCAGAATTTATAATATTCAGTGCAAAGACAACAGCCAAGCAAACACAAGACCTAATAGATAGTAAATTAGATAAACGCCGGAAGCATGTATACGGTCCACCTATGGGACGTTATATTGTCTTTTTCATCGACGATTTAAATATGCCAGCGTTAGAAGTCTTCGGTGCACAACCACCGATTGAATTAATACGCCAATGGATGGATTTCGATGGTTGGTATGATCTCAAGTTGATTGGTGAATTCCGTAAATTAGTTGATGTCAACTTCATATGTGCAATGGGTCCACCTGGTGGAGGGCGTAATCCAGTCACTCCTAGACTGATGCGACACTTCAACTTTTTGGCGTATAATGAACTAGATGAATTGAGCATGCAACTGATATTTGGTGTAATAGTGAAATCCTGGCTCAGTCGTTTAGGTACAGATAAGCCAGCAGCAAAACTTTTGACCTACGCTGATGATTTAGTCAAAGCTTCGATTCAAGTCTATAAAACAATTCAAACTCAACTTTTACCTACACCAGCTAAAAGTCATTATACTTTTAACCTACGAGATTTATCTAAAGTATTTCAAGGTATGCTTATGTTGGAACCGGATAGTTTAACTGGAAGTCTTGAACAGTTATTACGTTTATGGTATCACGAATCATGTCGTGTGTTTCAAGATAGATTGGTTGACGACAAAGATCGTGATTGGTTCAATGATCTTATTGACAAAAAATCGAAAGAAACATTCAACTTAAATGTCAACGACTATGTGAAGACCACTCCATTATTATATGGCGACTTCTTGTCTGCAGCTGCAAATGATGGCTGGAAGTACACAGAAATGACCGACCATGCAAAAGTAAGTTGTTTTTCCACCCCTTATCTAAGCTAGTATTTTACCATCACTTTTAGAAGACAATTAGAGTATTTTATAGCAATGTACAGAAAACGAAACGAGCAATGATGGTCAACTTATTATTAATTTATCATTGTTATTCGTCCCTTGGTTCCGAGTGGAATGTAGGGCGTAAACAGCACATCTCCATTGCATCCTGTTCTCTGCCATTTTTTCTAACTACCTTCAAAACTGACCACAATCTTTCACTGGCTTCTAATATGATTTCCTTCATGTCATCCTCTGACCCACATTCATCTAGTCCCTTTCCATTCACCTTCTACTCGAAAGCCTGACGTATGATGTTACTCGCCGTTCTCTTCAGATTATGTCTAATTCATTTACTCCTCCTTCTGCATATTCGTTGGTTGGGTAATGAATTATAGGCTCGTGCCCTATCTGCGGGAGTTTTTTCGCTTATACTTTCCGACTGCCTAGGCATCTGGTCTTCAGGATTGAGAAAAGTCCATTGATAAAAATCTGCAGCCTGTTAGAAATGCTTTTGATGACGCATACACCAAGTCTCTGAGGCATACTGAAGCACTGGTTTGACATTGATGTTGAGAGCTCAAATTATTTTCTCTGTGCTGAGTAATATAGATTTTCATACTGGCTTCAGAGTAATGTACTCCTGTCTTGCTTTCCCAACCCGATACCGGTTGACGCTGATATCCTTGACTATGCCTCTTCCAGATAAGTAATGAAAGTAGTGAGTTCCATTCGATATCTCTCATTCATGAAAATTTGTGTATGTTGTTGTTTATCAAGTATGTTTACAACCTCTCGTTCCTGTATGTTCACCTAAAGTTCTGTCTTCATTGCTTCTGCTACCAACATGTCGGTTTTCACCTCAGTATCTCTGAGTTTTGGCGACACAAGGCACAGATCATTTGTGAAATCCAGCTATTCTAGAGTGTATTTGTACGTACAAGATTCGTCAGGTTTCCCACTCGCTAAAGTCTACTGAATGATCCAGTCCAACACAATCAAGGGTATCACTAGTAATAGTAGGCAGATATGTCTTACTCCTGCGTTTAATTCAAAGGCTTAGGTGAAATTTTCGTTGTGGATTAGTCGGCGTATAGCATTATTATCGTATTCGTTTTAAGCACTGAACTCACTAGTGCTGAAACAGTTGCCGAATTACCTTGCTGTTGATGCTATTGAAAGTCTTTTCGAGATGGTTAAAGTTGAGACAAAGAGTTGACCGTCGTTAAAGGCTCTGTTCGACGATGGTGCGTAATGTTGCAATCCAGTCAACGTATGACTTGTTTTTCTCTGCATTCAAGGCATCTTTCGGTTTTTCTAAGGTGACGGGGCCTAATATTTTGTTGGTAGCAAATATGAGCTTGATTTCGAGTCAGTCCTTGCATGGGCCAACCAGTTACTCAACTATCTAACAATTAGCCCTTCATCTGTACACCAAGTGATTTACAACTCATGACAACAACTCACTATTGTCATGCTGGTTAAGTCAAAGCTTTGTATTTAAAATAGTGAGTGTCATATCTGAAAATATGGCGTATAACAGCAATGTAATAATGAAAACAACGCTTGTAAGTACGGCTACAAAACGCCTTATTACATGACATCTCACTATAGACAATTTCAATGAGTTAGCATTTCTGCTCCACCGAACTGGCCATTTCTCAGGACTTAGTCGGTTTCTTATTCGCATTATTCACTAGTCATCAAAGCTGCATCCAATATCGCCTACCAAAAAAATATTAAATTGCTTTGTTTAGCAGCTTTGACAGACTGATTAACCCTGGTCAATATTTGAAAAATAACTGATTAACTGGCTCGTAGCCCATTTAACTCATTAGCCCGAAATGAAGATGAGTGTCTACTCGTATGAAAATTTGGAGAGGAGAGGTTTCTCAGTGTCCCAGTGTACCTTTGTTTGTAGCAGTCGACTTAAATACGTATATCTTGTCTCCTTGTCTGCTCAGCGCTATTATCAAGGTAATGTGTCTCTACAGATTCATGCAGAATATTACTAGTTGGCTCTTGTTGGATTATCAGTGTAAACCAACGAATCCTGCATTACATATTACTGGCTTCTGTGTCACACGGGTCTTTTTATCAGCAAGTGTACAAAATTCGAGTCACTTTCTGTCTGAATTCTGAATGCAGTCAACAAACCGAATCCAAATCTCATAGTCCTAATCAAGTCTCTTTTCTTATATCCACTAGTCAGAGTGTACCATTTCAATAGTTTCTTTTTGTTTTTAATTGTTTACCTATTTGCGTGTGTGTGTGTGTGTCTTAGGTGTTACAGGTAATCGAAGAAAATCTTGATGACTATAATCAAATTAATACAGCTAAAATGGATTTAATTTTATTCGTGTACGCAATACAACATGTCTGCCGAATAGCGCGTATTATACGTCAGCCACAGGGTAATGCTCTACTTCTTGGTATGGGTGGTAGTGGACGTCAGTGTTTAACACGTCTTGCATCACATATGTAAGTTTACTTTATTCTCTCTTTCATTTCTACTAATCCTATAATACTGGCTCGAGCCTAGTTTTATTTGTTGAAGTTAAAATAGTTCATAATGTTGGATTCTGTATAGTTAGTTATTTTGGCATGTATTTTGGTACTAATATCGGGGGGGGGGGAGGGGTTAAGGAAGAAGACAGTCACCTAACGTATTTCTATTACTTTGTATTGTCTGCTTTTAACAAGAAATAACAGTCTATTGATCTACTTGTCAACACATGTGAGTGATCACGTGATTGACTGACTGACTGACTGACTTAATACGATTTGGTTGTAGCGGTGCTTGACACCTTCAGTGTTGTAACGTTTGTTTTTGAATTCTCCATGGATGACATAACTGTCTTTTCTGATGACTTTGGTTTTAACTGGTTGTTAGTGTGACTTATATGTCTGTCTCCATTGCTTCAAACTGCTGATATAAATGAAACGTTATTTTACTTTGATACTAGTAACTAGTGTGAGATGCGTCTAGTCGTCTGATTGGTGTAGACTGAATTCTACCAGTCAGGTTGTAATGTGACCACCAACTAGCACGAAACCTTAACTCCAAGGCTTCTTCCTTTGGCCGACTGCCTCCAATCATCTCTAATACCATAAATGAAAAACGTGTTTCTTTCAAGTACGTGTACTTTTTCATCAAAGATTTATAAGTTTGTGTGTGAATATGAATAAAGTGTCTAGTCAATCCTGTCAATGAATAACTGTTTATTGCATATATAACGCGGCAAACAACAAATAGTGAATAACAGAGATAAGTTTTGATCTAAACATTGCTTTACAAAAGCTAAGAAGGAGAAAGAAAGCACCCCATTGATCTATTTAATCATGATGGTTTAGATTTTGGCTTCCACTTTGAGTGTGGATTTTGGTCATACAGTGATAACAGTTAGAAAATTATTGAGAACTAAGTGATACTAGTGTCCTTATTTGAGACTCTTCACTGGTAAGGAATACAGATCTCACCAGGAGTCGAATCCAGAGAGTTTAGGTTGCATGACAAACCTGTTGATCAGTCAGCTACTGAGTTGGAATCCAGTGGACTGTGAATTCTTACTTCTGTCAAGTGCACCTTTGTTTTTAATGGCTCTCTCTAACTGACATTAGTTCATGATAACATCTACATCGGAATTAGAGTCATAATAATACCATACTGGAGTTAGATTTTTACAGACATGGTCTCCGAATGTCCCTGGAAAAAAATTGATGTGCTACAAAAAGAAGAATATGAACTATTCAGAGAAACATCTAGGAATGCATATTGTTTGTTCATCATGAAATGACCGAAAATTCAAATTTTTGAAAATCAATAGCATGTTAATACAGCTGATAAGCTGACAATGTCATGTGAAGTATTATTCTTTAGTCAGATTTGTCCAGCAGAAACTGACCAATGCTTGAATGTGTGTGAGTGTTTCTCTCTAGGCAACATAAGGTGGACGGATAGCAATATATATATATATATATATAGTGGATAATATGTGCGTCACTTTGAGGTGTAAAACGCCTGTTGAAATTCTTACTTACTTTTAAAAACTCTCCTATATGTTACCTGTCTTTTTAGGGCTGAATACGATTGTTTTCAAATTGAATTATCTAAAAATTATGGTATGCATGAATGGCGTGAAGATTTAAAAAAGATCATGATGACAGCTGGTATGGAAGACAAGCCTGTAACATTCTTATTTTCTGACACACAAGTATGAATACCATTTTTGATAAGTAAACGTACTTTTCATACTGCCTTTCTTAATATTTCAGTATGACTGTCTTCAAAAGTAATGCCTATCTTGATCACTTACAAGGAGTCATAAATTACAGGCACTTTCCTGTGGATGCTTGCATTGTCTTGACGATATGATGAGTCAAAAACAAGCGTTGAGTGATTGAATGCTCTCAGAACACACAAACACACATTGTTCTGGGGCTGATTCCGAGCCAACGAACTGCCGGACTTCGCCTGGATTACCAGCCGATATTAGGTCTGAGAGAGTTGGATGACAGACTAGCAATCCCATCCCTTAAAAATAATATCACGGCTACTGAAACTTCAAGGTTCCAAATCTGGAGCCCTATGCCTCACTTGGAACTCAAACGAATGAGAAAAACTGATTATGATTTCCAACCAGACTAAAGTAACACTACAAGTTAAAAAAAATGTTTTGTATGTTTATCTCAGAGCTTATCAGGGCACGAAATAGACAGGTAACTGCTGCGTCTGATATCGTATTCACCCAAAGGATTCGGAAAAACGGGAACTGTTCGTTTTGCTTACTAGTCAATCACCATTGATTGAAGAAGGCAATTGAGAAGTGTGTGTGTTTGGATTTGAAATTTTTAAGCTGTTCAATCCCTTCCATGAACAATGGCATAAACCGACCTCACTTATTATCCAAGAGACTTCTATGTATTCATATCTGATACAAAGGTAGAACCTATACAAAAGTCATATCTAACATTGTACAACATCAATTAACAACCATTGAAAATCTCATGTAAACTGTTCTTACTGACAATATGTTATAAATATATTGTGCGACAATCTGGACACCAGTTTCGTTTGGATAGTTAATATGAATAAGTCAGTCAGATTACATACAACACGTTGAAAAAAAAGACCAAAATACAATTTATGCACGCAGCAACTTACAAAGCAGAATTATTATTATTATTATATCCTTTAATTCCTAGAGGAACATAGGGCTTCAGCTGCGCACCTCCATTGCCTTCTGTTTTCTGCCAACTTTTTCACCCCGCTCCAAGTCTGCCCACATACTTTCATCTCCTCTTCACATCACCTCCTCCAAGTCACGCTCACCCTTCCACAGACGACCAACTCGCCACCCGCTTCCCTTTCGGCCTGGTTCCACTCAACCAATGGCTTGTCTAGTGTTGTCACTCACTTGATGGTTTCGTCAGAGTATGGCCAGCCAATCTATCTCCATTTCTTCCTGACTATTTGTTTCACAATCGGTTCCTGCTGTGTTGGTTGGTTGGTTGGTTCGCTCATTGCCAGAGATCCCTCCCTATTTCTGATCTTTTCTGGCCAGCCGGCCATCTGATCTTGAGCGGAGTATTGAGCGAAGACAACTAGCTGTTGATGAAGGTATGAAGTTTGTTTGAGATGCTGTTTGAGATGACGCGCTGGCCAAGTCTCTGATCCGTATAGAAAGTAGCACTGAATTTACATTGGAGTTGAAAATGATTTTTTTGGAAGATGAAATTTGTATTTAAATATATTGCATAGAGTTAACTTGTTCTTTCTTAAGCAGTTCACTTCCGCCTAGACAAGTAACACGATTGTTGATTTCCTTGTTTGTTTGTTTGTTGGTTTTCATTTCTCATTACAGATAAAAACAGAATCATTTTTAGAAGATATTAACAATATACTCAATGCTGGTGATGTGCCGAATATCTACCAACTAGATGAACTCGATAAAATCTATGACTCCATGAAATTAGTCGCCGCTGAAGCTGGTCTACAACCGACTAAAACAAATTTATTTTCGTGTTACACTAAACGTGTACGAGCCAACCTGCATACAGTAATTACAATGAGTCCTATCGGGGAAATATTTCGTGCACGTTTAAGACAATTCCCTGCCTTAGTCAATTGTTGTACTATTGATTGGTTTAGTGAATGGCCAAATGAAGCGCTTGAATCAGTTGCATTGAGAATGCTACAAAATATGTCTGATTTAGAAGTTGACGAAGAGACACTCAAAGCATTAGTTCAAATGTGTATTGATATGCATCAGTCAGTGGTTAGAAATACAGAATTATTCAAGCATGAATTAAATCGTCACAATTATGTGACGCCAACAAGCTTTTTAGAATTATTGACTGTCTTCTCTAAAATTTACGGTATAAAAAAACAAGAGATTATTGCAGCACGAAATCGTACACAGACAGGTTTGGATAAATTATTGCACACCGAAGAAGTTGTCTCCAAGTTACAAGAAGAACTGGAAATTATGAAACCGGAATTAGAAAAGGCTGTTGAAGAATCGAAGGCAACTATGGAAGAGATTACACGGGATTCGAAAATTGCTGAAGAAACCCAGTCGGTTGTTGCCCATGAAGAACAACAAGCAATGAAAAAAGCCCGTGAATGTGAAGCTATTCGTGATGATGCTCAGCGTGATCTAGACGAGGCTCTACCCGCTCTTTACGAATCATTAGAAGCACTGAAGTCACTGAATAAGAATGATATTACTGAAGTAAGAGCTATGATGCGTCCTCCAGAGGGTGTACGTCTGGTTATCGAAGCAGTGTGCATTATGAAGGATGTGAAACCGAAAAAAGTGGCAGGCGATAAGCCTGGAGTAAAAGTTGATGACTACTGGGAACCTGGTAAAATTATGCTACAAGATCCTGGGAAATTTTTAGATAGTCTAATGAATTATGATAGGGATAACATACCAGACAGCATCATTGCAAAAATCAAACCATACATTGAGTCAGAAAGTTTTCTGCCTGCGGCTATCGCTAAAGTAAGCAAAGCATGCACCAGTATTTGTTTGTGGGTTAGAGCTATGTACAAGTATCATCATGTGGCTAAAACTGTTGCACCCAAGCGTCAAGCTCTACAGTCCTCTGAATTAGAATTAGCTGAAACTGAAAAGATTCTTACTGAAGCAAGAGAGCGATTAAAAGCTTGTGAAGAACGCATTGCTAACTTGCAAGCTAAATATGATGACTGTATACGTAAACAACATGAACTGGAGGAGAAAAGTCAACTCTGTGAGGCAAGATTAGTCAGAGCTGATAAATTAATTGGTGGATTAGGCAGTGAGAAAATACGATGGAATGAATCTGTTGCTAACCTTAATCACCTACTTAGCAATCTTGTTGGAAATGTACTTTGTTCCTCAGGGTCTGTAGCCTACTTTGGACCATTCTCTGGTAAATATCGTACTGATATGATCAATGAATGGGTGGGAAAGTTGAAACATCATCATGTACCGCATACTACAGATCCAGCGCCAAATTTAGTCCAAACATACGGTGATCCTGTTAAATTGCGTAACTGGCACATATTTGGCTTACCTAAAGATGTTTTATCTATTGAAAATTCTGTGATTGTCCAATTCTCAAGAAGATGGCCATTATTTATTGATCCACAAGGACAAGCCAATAAGTGGATTAAAGCACTTGGACAAGAAGATGGTATGATTGTTACCAAGTTATCTGATAAAGATTTTCTACGTAATGTAGAAAATGCCTTACGTTTTGGTAAACCATGCCTAATAGAAAATATTGGCGAAGAACTAGATCCAGTCTTAGAACCTGTTCTGTTGTAACAACAGAAGACAAGGGCTGGCAACAGATCGTTTTATTACGAAAATCAACACGTATTTATATATATTTTATATGCATTAATAAGGCTTATGCAAGCAGAAAAAGGCAGTCTTCTGATTGGTTGTTTCTCGGAAGTTAAGCAGACAAACACAGTCTTATGATTGGTTGTTTTCGATATTTCTCGGAAAGTAGAGCCATCTATCTGCGAATCATATTTGTCCACATTTAAGTTTGCTGTGAATGGTTGTTGAAACAGCCTTGTTCATATTTTCTCACGGCCAATATTAGTGACCTAGACATTAACGTAGATTAGTGCCAACCAATCGGCTAGCAGCCTGCTCTCACCACACTCGTCCCCCGTCAAATAGCTTTGTGCGCAGACGTTCCGACCTTCTGGGTGCTACATCCTCTAGTTGAGGATTGTTACTGACCGGCTTGTCCCACTGTACCCATCTTTGGAGCTGACTGGCGTTAACTCGTTTCTGTTTATCACCTCTTCGGATGGTATATACTTGACCCCGTCTTTTTGTGATTGTGTATGGTCCTTCCCACTTTGGAAGGAGTTTCCGTGAACCTAGCCCGCCTCCAACTGTATATCTCCTGTCTCTACACTTCACTTGGTCCCCGACTGCAAAGGTAATGCACTGCGTCCTTTCTTTCATCTGAGACTTCGTGACATCACTGCGCTGCTTCCGTATTACATTCTTGACTGCCTCTTTCCTCTCTGCTTTTAATTTCGTCGTACTCCACTTTTGGTGCATGGGCCAGGTCTCATTGTGTACCGGTAATCGTGGTTTTCTACCATACATCAGTTGGAAGGGTGACTTCTTCGTTGTTTCCTGAGTGGTAGCCCGATGTGTTAGTAAAATCAGTGGAAGCTCCGTTTCCCAGTTCCCGCCCTTCGAAGCCAGCCACTCCTTCAGTGTACGGTTGTTTCTCTCCGTTAGGCCATTCGTTTGTGGATGGTATGGGGTCGTTCTGATCCTCTTGATGCCCAGCTGTTGCAAACGGGAAGTAAACTCTTCACTCTCGAAACAGGGACCTTGGTCTGTCAGTATTGTCTTCGGTACGCCGTGGTCTGCAACAATGTGTCTAACTACTGCATCTGTCACGGTTCTTGCACGTTGGTCTGGGATCGCTACGGCGTCTACCCATCGTGTCGCGTGTTCCGTCATCACCAAGAGGTACTGATTACCATTGGATGTCTGAGGAAATGGACCCATGACATCTACGGACCACAAGTCACCTATCGCGGTAACTGGAATCGACTGAAGTGGTGGTCGTATATACCGGTCACCTTTCATCAGCTGGCACCGTGGACATCCAAGTACGTATCTTGCTACGTCTTCTCTCATACCTGGCCAGTACATACTTTGTCTTAGGAGGTCGGTCGTTCTGGCCACGCCTGTATGCGCTAGCTGGTGACATTCTTCTATCATGTCGTGGCGCGACGATTGAGGTATGACAGCCAGCCAGCTTCCGTCGTTCTCTCGCCAGGTCAGAGTCCCGTAGGCATTCACTCTGAGTCGATCTCTCTGTCTGAGTAGTGTGGTTAGCTCCTTACTCGCCGTAGCTTGATCTACTTCTATCCCGTTGGTGATCACCTGTATTACTGTATTCAGCGTATCGTCCAACCTTTGCCTGCGTGCAAGTTTTAGTGGGTCTTGTTCTACAGCATGCACTCCGTACGCGACCTCGGGCAACTCAGACTCATCTTCTGGTCTCGATAACAAATCTGCCAAGACATTTTCACTTCCAGGAACGTGTGAGATCGTAAAATCGTATTCCTGAAGACGCAACATCCACCGTGACAACTTCCCCCGTGGGTCTCTCGCTGTCTTCAAAAATTGTAGCGGCTTATGATCAGTTTCGATGTGGAACCGCCGGCCGAGTAAATAAGGTCTCCATTTGTCGACTGCCCATACCATTGCTAAACATTCTTTCTCTATCGTTGAATACTTTCTCTCTGTGAGGGCCAACACCCTACTGGCATACTCAACGATTCCCTCGTCCTGTCTTAGGACCGCACCTATAGCGTAGTCACTGGCATCTGTGCACACTGTGAACTGTCTTCCAGGTACAGGTAGTTTTAGCGTCATTTGTTGGTGGTCGAGCAGCTGTTTAATTCTGTCGAATGTCCTCTGCGATTCTTCCGACCAAACAAACTTTGGCTCACCTAGTAGTCTGTATAGAGGGGCTGCTATCTCATTGAAGTTCTTCACGAAGCGACTATAAAACGCTGCTCTACCCAAGAATTGTCTCAGTTTTCTCTTTGAATTCGGGGCTGGAATCGTTTTAATCGTCAAAATTTTCTCCGGCAGTGGTTTAATCTCACCATTTCCCACTTTATGTCCCAACAGAGTAACATTCTTTTTGGCTATCTGAGACTTGGTTTTGTTGACGCGTAGTCCAAACTCTTCGATGCGTCGCAGCACGGCTTCTACATGGTTGACGTGATCGTTTTCGTTCTGACTGTATATGACGAGATCATCACCATAAACCTCCACGTTTTTCAAGTTCTTAAGTAATAGCTTCATCAGTCGCCTGAACGTAAATGGTGCACCTGCTAGTCCAAACGGCATGCGTTTAAATCGATATTGTGTCTGACCCACGATGAAAGCCGTCTTATCTCTGTCACTTTGTTTTATCGGTATCTGCCAGTATCCTGAGCGAAGATCGAGAACCGAAAACACATTCGCACCTTGTAGGCGATCTAAGGTTTCTATCACTGTTGGCATGGCACACGGTCTTAACTCTGTCATACTGTTTAACTGTCGGAAATCAACACAGAATCTATACTTCCCATTCGCTTTTTTTACTAACAGCACTGGAGAGTTGTATGGGCTATCAGCTTCCTCAATAATATCATCTTTTAACATCTCTTGCACTTGTCGCTCCACTTCGCCTTCCAGATGACATGGAACTCTTCGCGTTAAAAATGACCTTACTTTCGGATCACTTAACGGAATTTCATGATTCACCTTATCGCAATAACCGTATGGGTCCCCATCTCCAGTGAACAGATGATCGTATTTATTAATTAACTCTGTCACATTGTGTACCGTCGACAGCTTAATCGCTGCTATCTCGCTGGCCTCATACATGTTGATATGCCCGTATTTCGTGATCACCACGTTCGCTTGCGTGTCGATTATGGCACCAATCTCACGCAGAAAATCCGCTCCTAATATCGTTCGCTGTAGTTCGGGTACAACAATGAAAGGAAACGTCACCTCGCAGCCACCAACAACGACCGTACAGTTCGATCTACCCGTGATACGCAACACATACCCGCCTACTGTTTGTACTGTCAATGAACACGGACTAACACTCTTACATAAATTCTTATCTATTAACGACACGGCCGCCCCTGTATCTATCAAACATACTACTTCTCGATCATTCACTCGCAACTTCGAATACAGAGCGCCTTTCTCAATAGCCCCCACTAAATCTAGGTTCATACGAAAGAAAGAACAAGCATTATACCGTCTGAAATTTTTTCTTTTTCGCCTTTCTGGGCAGTATCTTCTCTAGTGTCCCGGCTTACCGCATTCAAAACACCGGTCTTTTCTATCAGCCAACTTTAACGCCGCCACTTCCCGCTGCAATGCTTCAATTTTTTGCTCATATTCGTTTGGTTTTGGTTGGTCTATAGCGGCTACCGTTGTGCTCAGCAGCTGTCTGGTCACCTTCGCCAGCTCACTAATATCCATCGGCTGCGTTGCGTTAACCAGTTTTAATCGCTGAGAAATGTGGTTTGGGACACTCTCGATGAATTGGGAAGACAGTAACTGCGCTTCTGATTCTTCATCTAAAGTGGGAAGCACGCGTCGAAGTAGATTAGTCAGTTTCACCGCCAACACTAGCGGGTCTCCATCAGGTCCAAGCTTCATTGACCGGAACTGCTGCATTGCTAGCTGTCTGTCTGTTTCGCTGTCAAACTCGGACACTAGTCGTTCAACCAATTTCTTCCAAGACGCTGTGCCATTTGACCTGTCTACGCTGTCATATGCAGCCTTCGCTCGGCCTCTCAACAGCGTCCCCAGGACAACTGCCTTCGCCGCCTGCTCCTTGACACCCACCAGCTCAGCAACGGCTTCGAAGTCACGTAAGAAGCTCCGTATGTCACCTTCTTCAAACGCAGCTGGCCACGGGATCTTCATCTTTTTGGAGGCAGCGACACCAAATGTAACAACAGAAGACAAGGGCTGGCAACAGATCGTTTTATTACGAAAATCAACACGTATTTATATATATTTTATATGCATTAATAAGGCTTATGCAAGCAGAAAAAGGCAGTCTTCTGATTGGTTGTTTCTCGGAAGTTAAGCAGACAAACACAGTCTTATGATTGGTTGTTTTCGATATTTCTCGGAAAGTAGAGCCATCTATCTGCGAATCATATTTGTCCACATTTAAGTTTGCTGTGAATGGTTGTTGAAACAGCCTTGTTCATATTTTCTCACGGCCAATATTAGTGACCTAGACATTAACGTAGATTAGTGCCAACCAATCGGCTAGCAGCCTGCTCTCACCACACTGTTAAGACAAACTTACAAACAACAAGGCGCTATAGTTATCAAACTAGGAGATGCTGTTATTCCATATCATAATGACTTTAAATTGTATATCACGACCAAATTGCCAAATCCTCATTACAAGCCTGAGTTGTCGACTAAAGTGACGCTTGTGAACTTCACCTTATCTCCAAGTGGCTTAGAGGACCAACTGTTGGGTATTGTAGTGGCTGAAGAGCGTCCCGATCTAGAAGAAGCTAAAAACCAGTTGATTGTGAGTAATGCAAAGATGAAACAGGAATTGAAAGAAATTGAAGATAAAATACTAGAACGGTTAAGCGCTACTGAAGGCTCACCTGTTGATGATATCGATTTGATACAAACACTCGAAGCATCCAAGCTAAAGTCAAGTGAAATTAAATCCAGAGTTGTTGTCGCTGAACAAACGGAACGCGATATCGATGAAACTAGGAGCAAATACATTCCTGTGGCTGTGAGAACACAAATTTTATTCTTCTGCGTTTCTGACCTTGCAAACATCGATCCAATGTATCAGTATTCACTTGAATGGTTTGTTAATATCTTCCTGAATGGAATAATCAATGCAGAAAGAGCTGGTGGGTAAAAACACGAAATGTCGCTTTTAGCTTTTATGTCTCTTTGTAATGAAAAGTACTTTTGATAAGTATAAACTTTTGTACGTACTCACGAGTAAGACTATTTTATTAGAGTTAGTTCACAACATTTTAGCTTCATCAAGTTATCGCTTATTTTTGTTTTATAGTTATTGTTTTGAATTCCCGCAATGTATGGCTTTGTTAAGCTGAGATTTGCTATCTCTTTTGACACGCTGGTTCCTAGGACGAACGTTTCGACGATGTTGAAGAATTAATCTGATGTCATTTTGTTGATGGCAGCTAATGCTGGAATCCAAGACGCAGGTTTCGTCCTGTTTACAACTCTTTATCCGGATGTAGGTAGGTAGTGGTGGTGGTGTTCCCAAGGGGACTGGAACCCAGCACTCCTCGTTTCAAAAGACAAAGTGTGGTGAGAGCTGTCTACAAGCCAGAATTGGTAGACAGCAATTCACGTCCCAAATCTAACCTTACAGAACTCAACAACCAGTCACAGCAGACTTAGTGTGAGCGGATACGATTAGCAGATATATGATATGACCTTCAAAGAAGCGGCCAGTAAGAGATGACAGAATAACTTTCAGCGAGAAAACAACCAGTCAGAAGACGCTGTTTCTCTGCTAATAATAACGAATAATAATGTGCCTAAAAATCTATAAATATAAACGATCAGTTGCCTGGCCCTTGTCTTCTGTCGTTACAAGAGCACTAGCTATTAGGCAAGTGGACCATGACAGCCATCTTTCATGCAACGGATATCAGTTATTAGTTTCCTGAACAAAATGTCTCACGTAATTGTAGGAAGACTCCCAAATACGATGACACGAGCTTTGTCGATTAACATAAGAACTTATTTTGACTATGGCAATTTAAATCAATTACTCCATTTGAATAAGGAGGGCATTTAGAAGACGAATTTCGCGAGATGATATCATCATTTCTTAGTTTCAATTACAATCACTTTACAACTAACATGGTTAACAGTAATAAAATCAAATTCATGACAGTTACTCAGTTATATAAAAAAAAAAAGTACATACTAATGGCCAATTTGCCTAACATGGCCTGACTACTTGATCTATTTAAATATGATTGGTCATTAGTATGTACTTTTGTTTTTTTTATTTAACTGAGTAATTATCACGAACTTTATTTTGTTATTGTTAACCATGTTAGTTGTAAAGCGGTTGTAACGAAATTAAGAAATGAAGATATCATCTCACGAAATTTGTCTTTTAAATGGCTTATTCAAATATAAAAATTTAAATTTCATATTATAAATACGAGTACCTGCAGTACATTATGCTGTACTACTCTATACGCAGTTTATTTTAATTTCTCACCTCTTTATGTTTAGCTTTGTATTTCACTAATGAATAATGAATTCATAAGCGTATCGACAGTAAATGCGCTACAACTACTACCTAATTTTTATTATGAACACAAAAACTGCTTACATTCATTATAATGCCTGTCTGTCTGTGGTTTCGACAAAAAACTTTGCACCGATATGCAGAAGTTTAAGTTGCCACACTCCCTTCTTGTAGCACACAAAGCAAGAGTAGAAGAAGAAACGCAAAATAGAGACATTAAACAGGGAGGGATATGAGACAATAGGAACAGTAATAACGCAGAATAGTATAGTTTCATTGGAAATTTTAAGTCACAAGGGGAGTGTATGCATCTGCGTCATTATAATGCAGTTGTGCACCAGTTGTCATCAGTTCTCCTACCATTTCTCAACGACTAATTAGATTGAATATGCCAATCCTATAAACTGAAGAAAAGCAGTAGAACATGTATTTACTGTTAGCAAAACTTAGGTACCCTTGATAAAATCGTAAAATAACTATCAAGCTGGTAAAATTATTATTTACGTACTGCAGCTCACAACTGACCTGGTCGGATAATAAGGGTTATTATCCACTTGTTATCAGATCTCATGTAGAATGTTTTGACCTCTGATTAATTCAACTTTGCTTCTGAAGAGATCTAATATTAGACGCACAGAGTTAATATTGATTATGAGTAATAAAGTTTTCCCCTAATAATTCTCTATCTTATGTGGTTGTTTTGACCAGACAAGATTATCTATCGTATGATGGAATTAAAACTTCCATTTCTTTAGAAAAAAGAATTAATTTCCAACTGGAATACACCGTGTCGATAGAAATCAATAAAGCTATTGAGGACTTTTTGCATATGGGATGATGATATGATAGTTTAAGAATACACTTGGTCATTACTTATTCGAATGTCAGATGTCAGTCACTCTGACCGACAAACTTGTCCTCACATGGAAAAATATCGGTAATAATTACAGTTAACAGGGGACTTGAATGCCTACCGGATTAAAGACACTGACCTCCTGATAACTGGTAAGCTACTTTCTCTTTCAAGAGTGGGCAGTAAAGCTTTTATATAGCTTAGGTAAGCAAAAAGCCCAGTAACCGAAGTGACACAATGCTGAAACTCCTGAATTTCTAATCTTTGTGAATTGACACTGAAAATGACGCCTAAACGTAACTAGGTAGCTCATCGGAAAGCGGAACCAAATGAATATGCACAATCTGGGTAAATGTTTTTACCTTCGCTACATTCATTACTCCCACGTTTAGTACATTTGTAAGCATAGGCGTATAGTATAGTGTTATACTCATAATAAAATCATATGATCTGATCTTTTCTAATCTGATCTGAAATACAATAAATTCCCCTCTTCTTCTTTTTTTCCCTTATTACTACCAGATCATGTTCCACAACGTGTGAAAAATATTAACGATTATTTCACATTCAGCTTATATAATAATGTCTGTAGAAGTTTATTTGAAAAGCACAAATTAATGTTTGCATTCCTAGTAGCTATTCGAATTCTACAGAATGAAGGTTTAATTGACCCTGTAAGTTATTCATTAGTATGTTCATTTGTTCACTGCTGTTTTTCTAATTTCTATGTAGGGAGGGAGGGCATCATGACGCCTGTGTTATTCTCAAAAACACCATTAGTTTATTGCACTTAGCTCATTTAAATTTGTTTTAATATATATATATATATATATATACATAATTAGCTGACATCGAACAGTTAATTACACGTTTCAATCCCCTTAATTTTCTTTTTCTTTCGACTGACGACGATTAAATAGTTAGACAGCAGTAGTGTTAATGATATTCCAATAACTGAAATATAATAATATGCAGCAGACAAAAGACAATAGTGAATGAAGCCCCACCTGAAATGATGGAAAATTAAGGGCATGAATAATCCCCATCCACAAGTAGTTCAGTAAAGTGTCTGTTTTCAGTGTATTCAATTTCTTCTTTATCTACACAATCGCATTTATATACAATTTTTTCTCTGTCTCCCGTAAAAGTGACTAGTAAGAAAGGGAGAATTAATGTGTACATTAGAAGAATTTGTTTATTTCAGTGTACATAATTTCCAAAACAAACCAAGGGAGTTTTATGCTTTTCTGCATTCTTTCCTATTTGTCGTCATCATAGGGGTAGTAGAATTTTCCAGATATCTGGGTGGACGTGTGTTGAATCTTTCCATTTACACGTGTTTGCAGTTGATTCGATAAATAAAGCTTCCATTATCCATCTCTTCCTCCAGCCTGTTAGTTGTATTAGATTTTAAAACTGTCATCTTAACCCCTCCTATTGTATGGTTGTGTGTAACTGCATGTAGTACATAGGTGAAAGAAGTAGAAAAGGGGCCGGTCAGACTAGCTGGGCATAAAAACCTAGCAGCAAAATCTAGATTAGTCGACCCGAATAAGATAAGAAATCTGGAGAATTGCTCAGCTATAACACTCACTACATGCAATATCACACAAAATCATACAATAGGATGATGGGAGAAGATGACAGTTTTAAGTCTAATGTAACAGGGTGAGTGGAGGGAGAGATTGATGCCTAAAAAACGGAATTATTCCTGTATACTTGAGATTAAAATCACTTATATCTACTGATAAAGCAAATGCAGAGTTCACACATGCTTCAAAAATATGCATCAAAGGAAACCTACATAGTATTATACGCTAGTTATTTACGATAAGGAAAGATATGAATGAAACAAAAGAAAAATTGAAAGAAGCAATTGACAAGGAAAATTATGAAAGCATACTATAAGTTGCACTTAAACGAAAAGAAACTACCTATGAAGAAACAAATCTTTCCCCTCATCATGCTGCTATATCGAAACAACATTAGATTCAATAATCTGTAACATGCTAAAATTTTCAAACTTAATCGTCAATACTATTTGAAACAAACTCATTAGTATTTTTATTATATTTATTATTCTCATTTTGATCATGGAATATTTTTGACTTTATACCAAAAATGTGGACGAATTCCTGTGGTTAATTCTATTTATATTTTGAGTAAATCAGATGGAATATTGTGACAAATGCTGAGAATTAATTCCATTCTCTACTATAAGTACTGTTTTTGGAATAAGTATATTATTATTATGATTATTTGATCTTCAGTGTGGAGCGAAGGGAGCTGTTGATGAAAGTCTGCAACCTGTAAGTTAGTTATTGGATGAAATAAATATTATTGGGCAGGGGGGGTTGTAGCTGCAGAGAACTGACTAAGTGAAATAAAATGACATAAAAGTAACCGTCGATTGAGATTCATCGACCTTGTAATATATAATAATAGTAATAATGAGGCTTTATTCCAGACAATATGTAAACACATAGTTAAGAAACTTTTAGCGTTCCAGACTGTTTCATCTTCGTGCATACAAAGTAATAACCTGAAGGATGTCATATGCGATAGTGTCGTTGCATACGGTAGACTTCGTTTGCCGTATATGCACGTTTAGAAGGGCGTAGTCGAAGATAGTAGTGCTAAATACACACGGGTAAATATCCTGTTGTTGAAGATGTTCTTTATTCATATTCACAGAAGATCGATTATAGATTGTGTCAGATGAACTTATCTTTAAATCTCTTGATGCTTCTTACTCTAAGATTTTATTAAGTTTGAAGAAGTAATTACTTGTAGACTATTCAGTATTCTTCATTCCCTCTCTGATTACCTAGTGAGTGAACAATGAATATTGTTGTTGTCTTCTACAATAAAACGCTTTTACACGTATAGTTCTTTCGATTTTTCAGTTGAGCCTTGGTCTAGTTATAAGTTATTCTAATCACAAAAATTTCAAGACGACAACTCAGAGGGCTTAACCACGTCGAGATGGTTGTCAGGCTAAAGTTCAGAAATAATTGGAGTTAGAGAAGTTTTCTGCACAAACGAATAAGAGTTTACCCTAATTAAAAGTCAATTTGAACGAAGAATATTCAAAGATCAATCTACAGGAAACCAACATGGAATGGTCAGTACACCAATTTCCATGGCTGGGTCCCTTTGAGAAGAAAGAGAAATCTGATCCATTCCTTATCCTCAAGAATAAGGAGGATATGTTCAAGTGATACAGTCAATGGGGAACTGGAGCGACTCAGACAAGTTGTCATAGAGAATGGATACCCTCCAAGATTTATCGAGAAAAACATGAAGTTAAGAGAAAAGCCTGAAAGAATCCAGACGGTGCCGAAGAAACTGCTCTTTATGAGTGTTGAATTTAAAGGTGATAACGCAGCTGAGATTCTGAAGAATCGCCTTTGCAGATCACTGAGGAAAGCCTTCTTTATGGTTGAGCTACGTATCAATTTCTACAGCCGACAAATGATCAACGGATGTATGAAGGATAAACTGCCGCTTTGGACAGGCCACCTCAATGTGTGTTTATAAATTCACCTGCTCGTGTGGAGCTAGTTATATTGGCCACCCGCACAAAGCGCACGCTTTCCAAACGCATCTCTGAACATTATCCGGCATGGTTAGCAAAGGCATAATGCAAGACAATTACTAGCTCAATTATCGAACATTTGGTGAACTCAGACCACGTAGCTCCACCAGAGTCGTTGTTATGTACTCGTCGAGTAGTTAATAGTCCTGACGCGGAAAGAGGGAAATCAGAAGACCACCAAGTTTACGATGATACGTGTATTTTCCAGACAAGGAAAATCAATGTCACACAAGAGTGTGAGTGAAATGGTACGAATGAACGTAAATGTGTGTACAAGAATAATAAAGCAAGAGTATATACGAAAATGGCTAATACACATGAACCAATAAATATCCAGTCTTAACGTGATTGGTTGTAATGTCATATGACAACAAGGTCATACATGTTTATTTAGTTAGTGGACAGACAAAAGCATAATGTCGGTTAAAATGGAATATCGATCCATATACACATAGCAAAATATAATAGAGACTGTCAAAAACAAAACACACATCATGTGGGTACATATCAGTCGTCTTTCAAGATCATCTACAAAGTGAAGCCAAATGGTACAAAGGGCGTCAGGTTTCGGCTTTTGTGTATGGCGGAGGCGCTGGCGATTCATCAATATAACCTTGAACTCTGTATACAGAAAAAGTTTGTCCAGTCTCTTATTCTACCTTGCTCTTAACCTCTTCAATAATCATTCCCTTCTAAAGCTACTTATGATTAATTATACCAATTATGTCACCCCCTATTACTCAATAATAGACCACTATACATTTTTGGTATATATAAATAAGACCATACAGTCTCTGAAGATGATTTCGTCGATTACATAATTACAAGCTGGGCTGCATAGTAGGTTCTGCAGATGATCGAATTCAACCTTTGTCTCAAAATCCTCGTTATATGGTAATTTGATGAAAACCTCTTTCTAAGAGACAGTATGGATTGTAGGTTTAGAGGCTAGTTGATTTCTGCAGATGTTTAAGGATTTTAAAGGATATCCGTTTTGAACAAGAGTATCCATCAACATTTCGTTTTCTTTGTCTTTAACATCAGCCGTGCACATACGCCGAATAGACACTTGTATCTATTTTAGAGGATTGGTTAGAAAAACAGATGATTTGTGACAAGCCAATAGATGCAGGTGTGTCAGACTACCAACTTCGTCTAAAGCTAAACGCCTAATCGAGATGAACCATAAGAGTGATGTTGACTCAGCCTTTAAGGTCATCTACAATAACGGTCAAGGGCGTTTACTGAAATACGCTGAGGCTAAACTGAAGCCCCCCTTGTGTGTTCAAAAGCAGTTTGTTATTACTCTTTACCTACCTTGGTAATCCTTATTTGATGGGATTACCAAACGTTGTGTTAATTATTCTTAATTCTATTTTTGTCACTTTGTTTAATTTAACTTTTCCATATATATCGACTTGACAAGTAAATGTGTGATCAGACTGTTCGAAATGTATAGCGCAAATAAATCAGACTTTTTAGACAATCTCCGTCTTCTAATAACACTATCTAAATTAACACTTATTAAAATTAAAATCCTCATAGTGTAATCACAGAACAAGATGATTATGAGCGAACAGTTATTTTCGATGAATTCTTACTCAGGCTCTACAGTTATAAATCCATGAATATTATAATACAAATGGTCATTAAAGACATGTGAAAATTAAATCAGAAACTGGATTGGGATACATGTATAGTATGGAGTGCGGTTGTGGTTCAGCGGTTGAATGCTCGCCAACCATACAAGTAGTCCGGTGTTCAGTTCCCGGCCGGTGCACATCTTTGCCCCCCCCGCTAGTCGTTTTCCAGTCAGATAAAAGGGGAAGGTGGTTGAGCGTGAGGTCAGCAACCTCACCCTGTAAAAAACACCACTGTGTTACTGAAACTTCACAGTTTAGGCTTGAAGTCCTATTTTGCTACACGAGATGCAAGACAGAAGTATAGTAAAAGAAGAGAAACAAGTGAAATCAGAGTCACGCTAATCATTGGTGTGAAATTCAAACCAATATTAACTGGTAAGTTTGTTGCTTAAATATGTGCAGTCGTATTTGCTAGTTGAGTGCAAGAAGTCTGAATCTCAGCAATAATTAGGTTGTGCGTGGAGTATTGTGTGAGCAGGAAAATGTTCAGTCAACAAGACTGTGTCTCCGTGATGTCTTCACCTGTTGGTTTGGTGTATGTCTACTTCTTGGCTGGAGTCCCTGAAACCGTAACAACAGTCAATAGTTGGTAAGATGGCTTAAAATTGTTTCCAGTAGCGCAGATATATAATAACTCTTTGTGATCTTCAAGTCAATATTAATTAATTAGTCGAACACTATAGTGACAAAATATACTAATAGCTGTTTTAAAATTAACTGTACATCACAGCTGTGGCTGCCAATGCGCACATGTGTACGCGTATGTTTCCGCGCATATATATTACATGTTGTTATCTGATAAAAATAAGTAGAGTCCTGTTTATTGCACCTTGGTTTATTTATCTGTTTCTTCTCCTGTTTAGTTAGACATATATATACATATATACGCCTATCAGAAGTTGAGTATACACTTTACTCACATGCTGTCTGTCTTCTATCGTGTTCTTCGAAGGTGAATAAAACAGTGACACTATGAATTCTCTGAATATCTCATCACTTTTTTTAGACTGTTTATTTAACACCGATCAGACACCAAAAGGGCGGGCTATGCTCTTGCTACCATCACCATGGATTACGCTATCAGAATTATTAGCCAGGCAGTAAGAGCGCTAGTCATCAAATGAAGCATTTCAGGGATATACTTTTTATGCTCCTGAATGTTATTGTTCTCGGTATAAGTTAAGTGTGAGTCCAAAATGAGTTTCAGAAGATCTTAGGCTTTATTTATTTATTTAATTCCTTTACGTCCCCAGTGGAACATAGGGCTTCAAAACTAGAGGTTTGAAGTACTGTTAGCAGCGGTAATTATTTTTGAGGGATAGGGTTGCTAGCCTAATGTCTAACCTTCTCTCTCTTTACCGGTCTTACTACTGGCTTAGTGAGGTAAAGGAGTGCGTCCAATACGGCCGGGGATCGAACTTTGAACTACCTACCTGCATGGTTGACGAGCATTCTACGGGTGTGCCAACGATGCAGGTCTTGCAATAATCAAAGGAAAATGTAAAATATAGAAGACTGTCATTATCTGAAATGCTTATAATAGGTTAGGTATCTGGCACTGTAGTTTCCACCAACTTCTTGTTATCAGCCGATCTGATATCAACTTTTTTTTCTATCCTACTTATCCAACTTAGTTAGTGATGATGACTATTGGTAAATTTTTATTTTTTTTAATACTTTTATACTAGGATGAATATCGATTTTTACTTGCTGGTGGTACGCATAAAGGTAAAGAACTTGCTAATCCAGCACCAGAATGGATTTCAGATCGTATGTGGGGGGATGTACTGAATCTTTCTTCTTTGCCTAAATTCGCTAATCTACCAAAAAGTATAACACAGAATCGTGATGGATTCAAAAAGATTTTCGATTCTTGTGAACCACACAGAAGTGAATTCCCCGAGCCATGGCAAACAGATTTAGACAGCTTCCAACGGATTTTAGTTCTACGCTGCCTTAGAGCTGATAAAGTGACCAATGCAATGCAAGACTTTGTAAGTCATCATTTAGGCCAAAGATTTGTTGAACCGCAAACTGCTAGTCTGCATCAAGTATTCAAGGATAGTTCACCGTCAGCTCCGTTAATCTTCGTATTGTCTCAGGTAGGTGAGCTTTAGCTTTATTTCTTTGAAAACAAAACACACGAGTGCGGTGAATACAAATTCTACAAAATGTCTGCATAGTAATAATAATAATAACAATAATCTTTTCACAAGAATAGCTAAATAAATAAGTTGATTTCTGTTGTCAAACAGGTTTAATGTTTGCTTTGATGACTTATTATTGGATGGAGGATTTAATCATGAGCTGACATCAGTTAGAGAACCACTGGAAAACCTGCTGGGAGTACTGGACAGCTGTTTCGTTAGCCTAGTTTGGGATTCTTCATCAGTACGCACCCACCACAGCGGTTCCAACACAGGACCTTCTGATTACAAGGCGAGCTAGCTCGTAGTCCATTGAGCCACTGGGACCCGATCCAATGGTTCTTGAATTCTAACTTCTGTCAATTCACGACATAGCGCGACCACTTCTCAGTGTTTTCTTTGATGAGTTACTGCCTCATCTTCAACCTGCTGTACCCTACTGGTCACGGATTCCCACTAGAAACCCCAGGTCACTGCCTACCTGAATAGGGCCAGTCGCTAGTGAGCACCAGATTAATTTTCAAGTATTGGTTTTGTAACCTTGCAACCAGAGGGTCCTGGTTTCGAACCCCTGTGGTGGGTGCGTACTGCCGAAGAGTCCCAAACTAGGCTAACGAAACTGCTCTTCAGTACTCCCAGTTGGTTTTTCAGTGTTTCTCCAACTTAAGTCAGCTCATGATAAAATCCTCCATCCAATCAAACTAAATCCCGACAATTTTTGATGAATTATTCTCCATGCATACGAAACCACGAAACACTTTCATCTCTCTATATATTATGAAACTCGTAAAATATGTATTTTTATTTATACAAAGCTGGAAAATAAATCTGAACGTTATAGGTGAAGAGATGTTCGTTGCAACATTACCGACGGATAGATATGCCCGTTCGTGTGCGACGGATATATCTATCTAATTAATTCCTAGCCAATATCCGGATGGATCGGTGCTTATTATATATATATATATATATATATATATGCGTATGCGTGTCATTATTGTCTCCTATGGCTCTTTCTTCTTCATAGAATATAATTTTATGGATGTTAATATGGTGATAACAATAATGATAATAGTAATAAGTATGAAAACGTTTAGTACTAATTAGTAGTGTAATGTCATCTTTAAAATTGATGACTCTGTGCAAAATTTCATCTCTTTTGAAAAATAAACTTCCAGGGTACAGATCCAGCTTCAGATTTGTACAAATTTGCCGATGAAATGAATTTCGGTGGTAAAAAGCTGTCAGCTATCTCACTTGGTCAGGGACAAGGTCCTAGAGCTGAAGAACTTATGCGAACAGCAATGGATCGTGGAGTTTGGGTATTTTTCCAAAATTGTCATTTAGCTCCATCTTGGATGCCTACTTTAGAAAGATTGGTTGAACAGATAGACAAGGATAGAGTGAGTTTTGTTTCCTAAATGTGTCACATTTTATCTGCTTTTTTGATTTTCTGACTGACCGACTGACTGACAGTGTTGGCGTTTAACATCGAAATTAATATTCATTTTCCTTTTTGTCTTTTGAAAAGGTTTTCTTCTTCTATGTAGGTTGTCCAGGAGAAGGATGAGTGCAGAAACTCGCACATTTGCATGAATGCATAATGGAATGGGTGTTATAGGTTTGGTTTTCTAGGGCGAAGTTCGATGAAATTCCAGATGTAGATAGAGAACTGTTAACAGATGTTAACAGATATTGCTTAATAATTCTGTATTGTTTGTTATAGACGGCTAATGTAATGAGAACGGTGTGGGTATTATTCAAGTTGTTTGATAACAACTCCTATAGCTTCCTCACTTTGACGGAACTACAGTCTGAAAGGAGTGTTTAACAGGATGTGACTGACATCAGTGTATGTGGGAGTATATTGTACTGCACTGTTTCGAAAGCCAGATAGTCTAACTAATTGTTATGAAATAAATACAATTTATAGCCTAATGTACAATTTCCAGGTGGTTTGTTTTAATCGTCTGATGAAAAGGAATTTTGGTCCGTGATATGTGTATAGGTAAGTGAATCCCATTTAATAATAATAATAATAATAATGATATAAGCGAGGTGTAAAAAACAAAACTAATAAGAAGGAGAGCTTGGAAAGCTGGAATGATAGCAATGAAAATGAACATTATAAACTCTGATTGCAATGCAATGCAAATACCAATTCGCATCGTAGCGTGACTCTCTCTCTCTCTCGCTCACTTGTAACTAGTAACTTACACTGTGATGAAGCTACTTTAACCCCAATCAATTATTTATTTAACATTCAAATGACCACTAATTCTTGTTCTTAAGTCTTCAGAATAAATGACCTCAATGGTTTATATGTGATGATTACACTTGTAAGTTACTCACTGACTTCTTTCTGATGACACTGTCTAATTTGATCGAAGGGATAAATTTATTTTAATTTCCTAAAATGGTATTCAATTGGTATTTAAAGAATAGACAAGTAAGATACACAGTGGATAGGTTACTGCTTTTAAGTTGGATTTCCTTTTCTAGCTGTAATTGGAATTTCGATGGCATATCTATCCTTATTGCCTCAGATAAATGTTCGCCTGATTTTAAGTGTCTGCCATCTGCCATTGATAAAGGGATAATTTAACTTGAGAGTAGAATTTTGCGACCAGTCTCAATATAATTATGTCCTGCGTGTCTAAGATGATACAAGACAGTTCACAAGACATAAGTTCACATAAATCCACGAAAGATCCCTCTCATTGTTAAGATTAAATTGAAAAATGATGCAAAGAATGCCAGTTGAATTATTTCAGACCTTATCATACATTGGTTGTATGGGTGGAAATGCCATTTGGACTTTCTGTTAAAATTATTTCGAATTTCTCCTTTTGGTAGATTTCACTGGATTGAAGTGTCTGATCAGTGTTTGCATGTCAGCTTCTAGAATGGTTGCCTTGATGAAAGCCAACCAGATGTTGGTAGTACCTTGTGATGAAATCTATGCAGTGTGTTTCTCTCATTTCAGACTCGTTTTGTGGCAAAAGCATGACTTACTGGGATGCAGACACATAAAGCCGACAAGTACGACATGAGACGAAACACGCATCCTAGCTATTACCGACCACATAAATTTCACTCAGATATTCAACTTGTAAAATAGTGTAATCTATGTAGAAGCCCTGAGCTCAATGTCACCGCAATGGTCGTTGAAATTCGCCATTATCAGTATTATTGCTCAATACCTGCCTACCTAAGGAATTTTTATCGTATGCACTCAAACAACCTGATGCTATCATTACGAAGAATTCAATATTGAATGTTATGATAGTGTCACCGTCCACCTTTTTTGCTTTGTTCTAGGTACACCGAGATTTCCGCCTATGGTTGACAAGTATGCCCAGTCCAGATTTCCCAGTTTACATTTTACAAAATGGATCTAAAATGACAGTTGAACCTCCGAAAGGCTTGAAGGCAAATCTGTTAAGAACGTACCAGGCAATTAATGACGCTTACTTGGCTAATGTTCCGGCTAAGGTTTGTTGTCTAAACTAATAATAATAATAATAATATTAGGAAATAGATTGATTGTTACGTATTTGTTGTGTATATATTGTGACATACAGTTTTTAATCTATCAAAAATACTACGTAAAGTGTTCGTCCACATAACTGTGATATCACTGTCTTATTATGCTGCTAGGTGATGAAAGAAAAACAGCTCTTTTACTCGATGAACAGGGATTCTTTTTATTTTAACAATCACTTCTCCTCAAATTCCATAGTTACATTTGCATAATTATGTCTACGCATTTATGCATGGCATGGTAATTGAAAATGAAAACAAAATTTGAAACCGACTGGCTAGAGTAGACTGGCGAGTAATGCGCTTGTGTCTTGGAGGCTGTTGGACACAAAAAATTAGTCAGAGAGGGATCATAGTAACCTTCAGCCTCACTAATCTTCCTTCATCACTGGTCTACAGATTCGCATGTGGATGTTCCACTGACTGTATCTTCCCTACAGTCTTTTAGACGACCACATGTCTGAGGATATTCGAAGCTGAATCCCTTAATTCTGAAGTCAGAAATTTCACGACTAAGCTACTTACTGATTAGCATTCTAATAACTTATGGATTCGTGAAGACATCAGTAGTGACCGAAGCACATCAACTGCTTTTTCATATCATATATTGTGTTTCACACTCTGGTCACGCTTCACTTTGAAATGCATCAACACATTAATAAGAAAGCAGGAAATTTTCAGATTCCCGTGTTTCTGGACAGTACAAGAATGCCTAAAGTCAGACTTAAATGTGGCACAAATCAATGGTGTGATGGATAGTCCGTTTTACAAAAAGAGACATCTAAGTTTTCGTACTTCTCAGAGTGCTTGCTTTGCAGGTGGTAACAGCACGAATAATGAGTGATTCAACTAGCTCCCCGTTTATGTGAAACCACCAGTTAACGACCCGTAGAAATGTAGGTGTAATGATTCTTGGCAATATGAGGAGATTTGTTTAGTTATCTAGATGGCTATTATAGATAGACAGGAGGTTTTATTCAGATATCCTGTTATATCCAGAAAATGATAAGACTATTATTGTATGATATGCTTAACAAGAAGCCGGCCGACTGACAACAAAAAATAATCATTCCTATGGTTTGTAATTATTATTATTATTTATCTTTTTTGATTTTAGAATGATGTCTTCAGGCATTTGTTCCTATCCCTGGCATTTTTCCATGGTGTTTTGATTGAACGTAAAAAATTCGGCCCACTAGGATTCAATATACCTTATGAATTTACAACTGGTGATTTGAGAATATGTATGGATCAGTTGATTATGTTTTTAACTGAATATACTACTACGCCTTACAAGGTAAGCAAGAGTACAAAAGCCTATCGTATTATATATTGCTATCGTGTAAGTTGAGAAAAAGAACACGAAACAAACATTGGTTTTGTAGGGATTTGGTTTGATTGTATGGAGGATTTAATCATGAGCTGACATCAGTTAGAGAACCACTGGAAAACAGCTGTCCAGTACTCCCAGCAGGTTTTCCAGTGGTTCTCTAACTGATTTCAGCTCTTGATTAAATCCTCCATACAAGAAAACAAACAATTTTTCTCTCTCTCTCTCTTCACTAGAGAATGAGATTTTAAAAATCCTGAAATCGATGCTCAATAAAATCTTTTGAATGTCAAACAGAAGTAGGTAATTGGCTGAATACTTTGGAATACTGACATTCTTCAGTAATAGATTATGATCTCTGGAGAGAGAGAGAGATTACTGAAATCTTGCTGAACAATCCTACTGAAATACTGGTCTCAATAAGTATCCCGTAAAATACTTTTCATCTGTTTACACTGAAAGAAAAACTTCAAGGTGAAAAGACTTATACAAGAATATTTATTATTAAGTGGTCAAACGCTGTAAGAATACATGATGTTCTGACACACTAATAAGCAAGATTCTGACAATGTTTAGCATGTATGATTCGCCTATGTGAGATGTAAGATAAGGCTGGTGGACTGGTTTACACCGACCTATAGTGATAGGATATGACTAGGTGTGCTAACCACATCATTGATTTGATGATCTGAATATTAACGATATCTCTCTCAGCAAGGATACAAAATGCTCGTTTGCCAATCGTCAGGTGGCGACATCTTTGCAGGTGTGACATCAGTCTCTCCATCTTTACGGCTACAGTCATAGTAAGTGAAAGCAGGAAGTATGAAAAGATTAGCCGATCTCAGTATATGTTGTATAAAAATGGAGGAAGTATGTATGAGGAGCTTTACCAGTTAATAATTACTCCGATAGATTAATCACCAAGTATTTAGGAAATTGTTGGAATAAAATTAATGACAGCAATAAGTAAGGACAACATGAATGGCAAACGTATACAAAACGATGACAACTTCATTAATAGGAAGTTCAAAACGTCAGTAGTGCTGCCATATGTGAAGATAGAAGAACCTGTGGTGTGGCGTGTGCTACTGACAAGATTTACCAGTAGTACACAGAGACCTTGATCAGCACAAAAATATCAAATAATGCAGAGATGGACTGATGTCAAAGAAAGTAAATGATTCAGCATTGTAGAGAAACATAGAAGACACGAAAACAAGACAACGGAACACGATACACAGAAGTAGCACAACAGTAAAGATCTGTGCAAATAATAATTTGGAAATAAGGTGTACATAATTTGGCTATATAGTTGTAGCGAATTCCAAATAAACCTTCCTTCACCAAGTCATTTTTCTTCTACCATTACGCTGGCACCTAACACATAATTCATCAGCCATTGATTGAGTTGTGTCCCACTGACTGAATGGTATACGAGTTGGCCGGCCAAGCTAAACTTTAAGCACCACTAACTACCAATGGAGTGAGACCACACCGATCACCTTGAAAGGCTCACTGAAGAAGTTTGTGAAACCTGGGAAATAATGCTTTCATCATCAGTAAAATATGCTTATCGAAGCGTTATGCTATTATTAAATGGGATATCTGGCAAGTTTCAGCATAGGTTTGAGAAAGATTAAGTTAACGTTTGACGGTTAAACCATGGACAAGTTAGGGTTAGTTAGATTAACCTAATAACGGCGACATTAGGGTTGGTTACAGTTAGATTACAGTCAGTTGTTATAACTCCGTTGCCAATTGGTTATAGCTGAAGTGAACTGAACTAAATCCGTCGCTACTTTGTTATGTCTGCGCCTGTCAATTACTATAATGGTAATCAACTTGACTGGCACGCTAATACGTCTATTTGTCCGTTGTACCTTCCGATTCACCGACACTGAGTCACGGAAATATCAAAAGACAAAGGCTGGCTGGTGGCCTGTGACTGTAAGATATTGTATTACTTTACTATACTTTGTAGTTTAAGTAACAACACATGATATTTATACATTTTCTATACCATAATATAAAGTTGGCTAACAACCGTGAGAATTGATTGATCTTATTTGCTGGAAATGTCTATTCTCATTGGTTGGTGATCCAACGACAAAGACCAAGGTGAGACAAAAGACGATGAATTGATCTCCGGCACACTAAATCTCAATATACGTGAGAAATGATACAGTAACAAAGTGACTCCATCACAAGATAAAAGATGATATACTGTTTTATGCTGAGTCCATTCTTAGTTAGGGGCTATTTTCACGTTAGGGTTAGGTTCAGGAATGATCAGGGTTATTGTCAGAGCCATAGTGTGACTTTATCAAAATAAATTTTACCCACAACGGAATTATACTCTGTTGATATTCCAGCCTAAAACTGAGAGCTACTTTTATCACATGGGAGAGGAAGGCAGTCTGCGTAACACTTTTCTACAGCTTTTATGCATTTTTTCATAAATCTATGTATTCCATGCACAAAAATGCCTCCCTCCTTCACGTGATTGGTGCGTTCGAGGTCATTTGCTGCTGATTGGTAGTTAGTGGTGCCTAAAGTTTAAATTTGCCTACGAGTTCGCTTTATAACCGGAAGGTCCTCGGTTCAAAACCCGATGGGTGCGTACTGTCGATGAGTCCCAAGCACTTGGATGAAACACTTGTCAAGTGAGTACTCTCTATTTTCAACAGTTCTCTAACTGAAGTCAGTCCCAGGTCAGACTTGAAAAAGAATAAGATTGTCAATCAAACCCAATCAAAACAAATTGAAAAGTCTTGTGGCGCCCATTAGACAGAATAATGTAGTTTATTTAATCCTCTACAGTGATTATGAGCTCAGAGTAGTAGGTGGGATCCGATTGCATTAATGGAGCTTAAAAATCCTAGTGAAATCTAGGCCAGTAGACCCTAAATGGGTGAGAAATATAGAAAAAAGCTCAGCTTAGCTTAGTGTAACCACAGAAACCAAGGGCCAGGCAACAGATCGTTTATTTACGAAATCAACACATATTTTTTATATATTTTCATGTACATTATTATAAATTATTGTTAGCAAACATACACAGTTTTCTGATTGCTTGTTTTTCACTGAAAGTTAATCTTTCATCTCTTTGTGACTGTTTATTGAATGTCAAATCATCTTTATATGCTAAATGTATCCGCCTATGCAAAATCAGTCTTTCTTCTTATTTTACTCATGACCAATATTTGGGATATAAAAAGGACATTGACGTAAATTACTTACTGTCTACCAACTTTGGCTAGCAGCCAGCTCTCACCACAATAGCACTAAATTCATTTACAAACAATCAATCATACAGCAGGATGAGATGGGATGAGATGAGGTGTCAGTCTTGAAATCTAATGTAACACTTCAGACACACACACACACTCACACAGAGAGAAAGCGAGACTGATAACTGAAGCCTAATTTGTCAAATCAACTGAGGATACACACAACAGGAATGATTTACTACCACCTATTTGAGACATTTGCAAAATTCTCTCAGGGGCCTAAGATAATTGGGAAGGAAGGAAGAAGAGAGAACAACCACAGACAGAAGTGAAGTTTCTAAGTTGTAAAGTTGTAACTGAGATATGATATTGATTGCTTGATTGATAGATTGTGTTTGAAACTCCAGTAAAAATAACACTGTTTCACACTATGTGATATATCCATTGAACGGAATTTTAAGTAAATGACCGTTGGATTTTTCCCAGGTCTTAATTAATAGTACTCACAGTTAGAAATCTTTTATGAAGACAATGCTACAGCGATACAGAATATGAGTGTTTACTACATTTTGTAGAATAAATACAAAATTTATACAGTGTCACATTTCATTTGTAGGTTCTTTGTTATACAGCTGGACATATTAACTACGGTGGACGTATAACGGATGATTGGGACAGGCGATGTGCGATGAGTATATTAGATGAATATTACTTTCCGCGTGTTTTAGAAGACGATTATAGTTATTCACCATCTGGTATATACCACCAGCTACCCGGAAATACAGATCATGCTGTAAGTTTCCCCGTTCGCTTAAAAAACTTACTTCATAGCAGCACTTGAATTGAAACACTGCAATAAGAACAACATTGTAGCTTTATCCCATTGGTTGAATAGTCAACAGGCTCGCCTGACAACCTGGGTTCGATCCCTGGAGGAGTTATGGTGGGTGCATCACTGAAAGGTTCAGTAGTAAAATGCTCGCCAACTATGCGGAAGGTGCAGGCAGCTTCATTTCACGGCCGACTTACTTACTTACTCCTTAATCTCGTTTAGTTTTACTAGCTGGTAGCAAATAGGTAAAACAGGAAGGGTCAGGCGTGAGGCCAACAAACCCACAACGTAAATAAAATAAAACAACCTCATCGATAATGAAACTTCAAGAAAAAAAGAAAAGCTTTGAAGCTATATGTTCCACTCGAAACTCAAGGGGGATTAACAAGAATTATTATTACTTCACTGAGGTGTTGTGAACCCTATACAACTGAAACAATTCAGTCATTAAGGCATAGATGTGAGCATGACGAAGGACATTCTGTGATACTCTGGATGTGTGTGTCCTCCAAACAGAATAGACGATGCAGATTCTCGTCAATACAAGGAAGACTAAATGTTTTTCGAGGTGTGGGACAAATTCGCATACCATAAGAAGTCATTAACTAGTTACATGAAAAGTTGTACAGACAGTTAGTTGAGTGATAAGTGGTTGGGATTTTTAACACTGTTCTAGGAAAATTAATCATTACATAATCATAACATATGGGTAGTTTCTAATTAATATAAAATATTATATATATATATATATATATATATATAATAGATATAATTGGACCTGATTCAGTTTTACGCTTATTTTGTTTGTCCAAAGTTCGTCGAATTCTGGCTATTTCTAAACTGATAATAAAGCGAATAGCCTTCTTAATGAAAGTGTTCCAGCTCAGTAATTTAGTTGATTAGGATGGTCTTAGCATTGCTGATGACTTACAGACCAGTGTATCCAACTTTACTTGTCATTTCATCTTCGACAACTTTTATGTTCTGCACTAACAATCTCTACAGAAAGGTAGTTAGTTGGTGGAGAAGAGAATTCTAGCAGCTTTTTTCAACTCAAACTTGAAATGCATAGTTTACTAAGTAAGAAGCATTTAGGTTCATCCAGTCCTATAAACGACTGAAGATGATGAAATCATAGTTTGACACCGTCCTTCAAGTGTAAACTAGTTTCAAATAAGTTCGACGATATGTCTTGCACAGATAATCATACTAGAAAGCTGGAACTTCATTGCCACTTCACTCTGAAGAGAATTTCAGTCCTTTTTATTAACCAGGTGCCCAATTGCCAATACGCTTTCATTCCGTCCTCGCATCGCTGCCATCTCACCTTCGGACTCATTCCCAAGTCGTTATTTCCCGTTTACGTTCCACTTGAAGTCATGGCATATGATTTCACTCAATCGTCTCCTCAGCGTACATCTAATCCATCTCTATTTCCTTAAACATATTAGTTCGGCAATATCTTCTCGGTTGGTTTGTCACCAGAGTTTCCTGTTGATAATGCTGCCTGGCCGGCCATCTGACCACCTTCACTATCGAACGAAGGCTATTGATGAAGTTCTGCAGTGTGTTGTGGATGCTTTCGACGACGTCTACACCAATTCTATTAACCATATAGAAGCAACCAACCAACCTGATATTTATGTTGAAAATTCGGTTCATGTTCCCTCTGGCGGGTGTAGTAGATCTCTCTACTACTGGGTATATCACAGAGTAATCAGTGCGTGTTTTCGTTTCCCTACTATGTGTATTACTTTGCACGTTAAAATTAGAAAGAATGTTTTTAACTATGCATTAACTATGCCTACTGATTTGCTTCTTTTCAATTTAATGTCTAATTATTTAATTATGATAATTTTTCTTTCAATTAAAAACAAACAAACAAACAAAAAATGAATACCAGATGTACTTGGACTATATTCGTGGACTACCCATCAATGATCCACCCGAGATATTTGGATTACACGAGAATGCTAACATCACATTTGCTCAAAATGAAACATTTGCACTTTTAGGATATTTATTATTATTGCAACCAAAAACTTCAGCTACAACTGGCAGTGGAAAACAACGTGAAGAGATTGTTGAAGAGTTGTGTCATTCTCTTCAAAAACAATGTCCACAATCATTTGATCTGCCGGCTGTAATCACTAAGTATCCAGTGATGTATGAACAGTCCATGAATACAGTGTTAACTCAAGAGGTTATCAGGTATGTGGTTAAATACCTTTCGTCACTTTTTTGGTATCAAGTGATTGAAAAACAAACAAACAAACAAGAAAATAAGAAGATAATCAATCTTGTTTAGATCTTGATCATTCTATCAATCAAACTGAAGAGCACACTTACTTACTACAAATCAGTGTGTGAGCACATACTCTAGTTAGTCTAGTCTATAGAGTTAGTAATATATCCTATCACATATAGCAGCATTCAAACACTTCTAGACTGACAATTCCAATACACATGACACTGTAATACACTAACTAAATGGATAAGATTTTGACATGACAGCATCATCGTCATCAACAACAAGAACAAAAACAAGACCCTATTATGCAAATGTAACACATTTGTATATGTGGAGGGTTTTTTTCTACATTATAACTTTGAAGAAATTCGTTATATTTAGACAAGGCTGGTAAACCAAGGCTACACAAGACACTTTTGTCAGTAGTGACATATTATTATTATTATTCTGAGTATTTATCAGTAAATCAATTATTAATGTTATACTAGGTGAATAACACAACATAAATATATGTGTATATATTACATTATATTATTTCAGGTGGAACAAAGGGAGGGCTTCAACGACATTTCACTCGATTCTCTGTAGTCTGTTTTAGCTAGCTCACCAGTCCTCCACTTCTTCAGACAATCTCATCCATGTTACCCTCATTGTTCCTCAGTCAATTTTCACTCAATGATAGTCTAGCGGATGATGTCGGTCAACGTTCTGTCTACCCTGTGTATGTCCAATCCATGGGCTTCTGCATACTTGTTGGACAATAGGTCTTCGTTTTCATTGATATAAGAATAAAACTTGTGCACTCTCGTGGTAGAGTGTAATTCCATTATGGGTAAATTTTGTTTTGATAAAGTCTCACAGTGTTATACAGTAATGTTTACTGATGACGTTTCGAGCCACATTTTATTCCTCATAATCACTGCGAGACTTTATCAAAAGAAATTTTACCCATAATGGAGGTCTTCGTTTTCCTTCTTTTCTTCTCGTTACTAGAATTCCCTCACCTAGTTGATTGACTAGCTTATTGGTTGTTGATAAGCGAGGAGAAAAAGGGAAATTTGGATGTAAGGCTAGCAACCAACTACTTCAGGAAATCAATCCAATCGTAATAGGAACTTGAAAGCGCAGGAAAAAGTATAAACAACAGACTCATTTTTTCATCCTATAAGAAACAGTTTATGAGAGACTGAATGATGACCGAGTATCTCTGTTCAATCAATCGACGGGAAAATCTGGAATTGAATTATATAATTAATAAGACCTGTTGCACAAGAGGTGGCTGGCTGTCATGGCCCAAGTGGTCTAGTGGATAACGTTTGGCGTTTGAAACTATGGCCATTGGGTTTCAGCCTCAGGGGGAACGCCATCACTCACTGGGGAGTGAAGCACACCAAAATGACAAGCCCTAAATAGGAAAAAATGCGAGTTACCCTGGATTCCACCGCCAGTCACACCATCAACCAATTGACTTCAAGTTACATGACCAGACATCGTCGAAGCATCTGCACAAGGAGCCGAAGTGTCAACTTGAGACCGACCTCTTCAGTTCAATCAATCGACGGAAAAAATCGAAATTCAATTAAATGATGAAGTTAGTTAGGCCTAGACACTCTCAGAGAGTACTTCGAACAATTAATCAATCTTCTTTTTCCCTGCTGTGATAACACATTTCTAGTTGACAATGTCAACATCACACAGGCCAGTTAGTTATTCACGCAGTATGTTTATGAAAAGTTCAGTCAGACTAAACACTAATTTTATGACCTCCTATTACACCTGTAATGATTCTTGATGTGAAAAAAAGAGAATCATTTTTACCTGTAGTAAATGGTATTCCAGTATTTGGTATTTCAGTTTATAGGTGTGACTCTCAGTGGAAATATTTTCAGTCACTACAATTTATATGCATCTTTTTTTCTGTAGCCTAAAGGTGAAATCAATCACAGGAACACAGGGGAGTATTTACTCCTTATCACTGAAATAATGTCTCTTCTTTTAGTTATTGTCTTTCCTCTTACACTGATATTTATCCGTTATATGATCAATTCATTCATCAATTTCCTCGCTTTCTGGGTGGCAGGCTGGCGGTTTGAAATGATGGACAATCGAAAATTTATAATTTGAATGTTGCATTTTAGGGTTGTGCGTTCTCTCAACTGGATGGTTTAACTGGGAAGTAGCATTCATTGTCCTACTGGAGGGCATTTCCAGTCTTACCTTCAACAACTTGAAGTCAGCTTTTGGATGTTAAACTGTCATTTAAATAGTGGAGAGTCGAAATCAATTATCTCTAAAACTTAGTCACAGAAGGAGATGGAGAAAGAGAGAGAGAGAGAGAAGGAGAATCGCGCAACCAATCAGCTTAGATTGCTGTGAAGTGTAATACTAAAAGTTTTTTTTTTTAAATCAACGACTTATCCTCTTTTCTTTCGTCTCCCTACTTTTTCCACCCCCATCCCTACCTTAACCGCCAATCAGATATAATAATCTACTAGTAACTATACAGAGAACATTGAATGACCTACTGAAAGCACTCAAAGGTTTTGTAGTAATGTCAGCTAATTTAGAAGATATGGCTAGATCATTATTCGATAATCGTGTACCCGTTGCCTGGGCGAATAAAGCCTATCCAAGCCTAAAGCCATTAGCCAGTTGGACTGAAGATTTAGTGATGCGTGTCAGATTTATCCAAGAGTGGATTGATCATGGTGTGCCAAGTGTATTTTGGATAAGTGGTTTCTTCTTTCCACAAGCTTTTCTAACTGGTACATTACAAAATTATGCAAGAAAAAAGATCATCTCTGTTGATACTATTTCATTCGATTTTAAAGTAAGTCACAATTGTGTTTGTCTGTGTTAATCTTTTTCACTTTAAAAGAAAAAAATAATAAAACTATGAGAAAGAGAGAGAGATAAGAAACACACCGCGAGTAGAGTTCAGTGAAGAGGCATTTTCACCGATCTCGAATTCTCCTCGTTACCTGCACGTACATATAGCTGGTATATGCTTACAACTACTACTTTTTTCACAAAAGACGGAAGCAACGAAAGAGATGAACTGTCATAAGCATACTTGCTAATATTATTAATCAATACATAAGAGAGAGAGAGAGAGGAGGGAGAGAAGTAAAATAAGGATGATATGGAGAGTTGTTTAATCAGATAAATAATTCAAATTCGAATGAGTTGTATTCAGGATGTGCATATAAAAAATGGAAAAGTTCGTTTGCAAGTGTTATCAGCCTACAACTTTCATTATTCAACAACATTTGGGCTGAAACTCATTGTTTAAGTCAACTGATGATTAAGCTGAAGGTATTATGCGGTTGAACATCCACACCATTTCTAGAGGCTATCGCATTACTTTGCATCATTCATTATTCACAAGCGCTCCAGCAGTCAGTTAAGCAGACATCACACCAACCGGACAAAATTTTCTGATCCAAAAATATATTCCTTTTGGACTTTCGAACGTTCCCTGGTTGCACAGAAAAAGTACACATTTGAGGGTTGAAGATTGCTTGTTCATCAGAATCCTTCGTCTTTCTTTTAAAAGTTAAAGGAGACAGTCATAGAAAAGGTGTTTCTTTACTGTACTGAACTTGTTTCGGCTTTTCATTTAACGCTTTGCTTGGTTTGAGATTATTCGTTTACCAAAAACAGAATAAAAAACTCAACCTCGTTAGGTTGAGGTGTTGAAGTCATTAATTCGTGAATATGCATATCAGACAGATTATCTCGTTTATACTCTTATCATTCTTCTTTTGAGCACATTTGCCAAAATATATTTCGATTCCGAATGACCAAAATCACATGACTGTTTCTTCTAGTGTACGTGATACGAAAAGGTGAACTTACTTACCACTGATATATTTGTTAATGTGCTTCACAGCATATCATTTCATTATAAAGTAATATTTTAGTGAGAGCTGTTTGCTAGCCGAAATTGCTAGACAACAATTTACGTCAATGTTTACCTCCCATATCTTGATCATGAGAACAAAGGCTAACTCAACACAACAACCAATCAATCACAGCAGACTTAGCCTGGGTGGATACGATTAGCAGACAACCAATAAGAAGACGTCGCCTGTCTGCTAACAATAACGCTAATAATAATGTACATAAAAATCTATAAATACCTGTTGATTTTCTCAATAAACGATCTGTTCCCTGCCTCTTGTCATCTGTCGTTACAAGCTTATCAGTGGAGTTGTTTAAATGGCATTGTACGGATTCACTTGTCCAAAGTATATCTTGTGAATGTCGTGCCACATCCAGGTGGGCTTTCCTCGATATAGTCAGCCTCCAATAACCAATGGCTCAAGAATGCTAATGATTATTAAAGAGTATCTCAGCTTATAGTTCAAGAGTAGTTTAAGGAAGGTTATTTGTTACATAAACTGAGCAGTCAGAAATCACTCATATCAAACACAATAATGTATTGGTAAATAGACTGAAGCGATCTAAACACCAGAGAGCGGCAAGTCTATACCATCCCCCTGTTCCACTTCCTCCCTTGATTCCCCACCCCCTCCAAAAAATATATGCTGGTTTCTCACCTCAAACTGCATTGAATTCCAAGTGACGAATTCCAGAGGTAGTTTTGTTCAATAATCAAGCAACTTCGACTTCAGACTATCACAGTTTTAAGGTTCTATGTTTTTTTCGTTTTTGTTTTCAGAAAATATTCATTCTTCAAAACCTACACTTCTTTCTAAAACACTCTCTTCTCTAGGTCATGAGAGAAGGCTATCAAGAATTAACTGAATCACCGGTCGACGGGAGTTATATTCGTGGTTTATTCTTAGAAGGAGCTGGCTGGGACTCTACACGTAATATGCTGTGTGAATCTAGACCGAAAGAATTATTTGTCAACATGCCAGTTGTTTGGCTTATACCAACAGCTAATCGTAAACCACCAACTCATGGTGTCTACGATTGTCCAGTGTACAAAACGCTTACTCGTGCTGGTAATCATGGTGTCTTATTTTTAACCGATTACTTTGTTTTTAATACAAATTAATGGCATTTACAAATCAGCTGAATTACAACATCAGATCAGTGTAAGAGATCAAGTCACAAAGAATAAGAATTTAAGCAAACATTACTGTCGGAATGTGTAAAATTCCATTCTGGAGTAACATCACAAGAAGGGTAGCAAGAAACCTAAAAAACTTCTTTTATCATTATTGGAAGGTCTTTTAATAATATCACTGCATCATCAGATTAGTAAAGTGTGTGTAGTTGTTAGTTAGTGATGTAAAGAAAGATGATATTATAGTATGGACAAACCACCGACACAAAGCACTTGTCACATTACTTGATGCAGTTTACTTTTGCAATTAATAGTGTTCTCTGACCTGGTTGGTTTAGTTGCGGAGCTTTCGTCGTCTTTCCGGACGACATCTTCAACGCAGTTTACTTTTGTCTATTTCTGGTAACCTTGTGGTAGTGCGATACAGACAACAATATGTGTTCTAACGGAATATGATGCGTCGTCGGTGGCACAGTGGTCAGGACTCTCACATGCTGAAAATTCTATACTTGTACCAAGAATACAGGGTGGAATCAAGCAGTAATAAAAAACGGAAAAAAAACTAAATATTCCCACAGTTCAATATGGCGTTAGCAACAGAATACTCTGTCTATTTGAAAATTCGATTACATGTTGCTTAATGTAAACCAAAATCACATGCTGGCTCAGTGATTGGTTAACGAATATAAACTGTAGATAGATATATAAACAGTGGTTTGATTAGTGAAAAAAATATACCCTGGTTTCTGTGTCTTGCCTTCTGCTCGAAAAGTATAATATTCCACTGACAACCAGTTGAACGTCAATAACACCGTTGTGTTTCTCACCCGGTCTATCTATTGAAAAATAAATTCAGAGATGTTTGTAGAGAAAATGCGGCACACTGGTAGCTGGTAGGATACACTACACTACTGATAAGAATTTATTTCTAAGCGGTATACAGCAGTGCAATGTTTTCAACACGAGTTGCATGAAGAGACGAGCAAGTGGTGATAGTTCAGGGACGAGAAATAGAGAACTTCAGTCATGAAAGTGGAAAGCAATAAAATAAAGAGGAAGAAGAAAGAGAAGTCGAATAAAGTGGAAGTAGAAGATGAAAACGAGTACTTTGTTAGTATTAAGCGTAATCAACTAATCCTTTCATATGATGACTCCTTCCCGAGAGAATATCGCAATGTACACTATTTAGCGAAACACATTCCAAGTGAACAATATTGTTTTCAATTACATCTCATCAGGCTTAACTCTAATATACATACCTAACTTTACAAAGAAATAATCAAATATAAACCGATCACGGTGTTTTGTCAATTGGATAATTTTATTTTTTCATTTTTTATTTTTGGTAACAGCTTGATTCCACACTGTATTTTTGGTACAAGTATGGAATTTTCAGCGTGGATATCGGTAGCCCAAATTTCGCAGGCCGACCATAGATATCTGGTGTGCACCGGTGTGGGCTCGAACCCCGGCATGTGCATGGTCGTCGAGAGTCCTAACCACTGTGCCACCGACGCATTGTGCTAAGATTGTGCATTTAATAATAATAACAATAATAATAATAATGACTCTATCAATAACAAGGATGAGAAAGTGAGGCTATATCTGGAGACATCGTCTGTTGGTTAGGTCTTAACAGCCCAACAAGGGAAGGATGTTGGTTGCATGAACTTCTTTTGAATGATGAGTATAGTTTAGAGACCTAACAGTTCGAATGCCTATCGTCTGCCTCAGCTGTGTGCAATAGACGAACCCAGAGTCTGTCGGAAAGATGATTCAGTGGGATACGACGAATTATCTTGAAAGCTCTCGTTTTCTCCACTACATAACCAGTATCAACTAAATGTGATACAATGGAGCCTCCGATTACTTTTGTCTGTTCTTTGCCAGACCACAATGAAAGATGTTCAGTAGTAGCACACTAAGCCGTCTGGTAGTACGCTCAACATAACTGTCACCATAGGCTGGGTGCAGCTGAGACAATAAATTCACACAGATGTGGCACTATTCCATGCTTTGTGATTGTCAATCTTTCGTCGGCTAGAGAATGACAAACTTAGGTTTGTTGCTTCATACATTCTCTTGGAAAGTCTCTGGAATAAACTCTCAGTTGATAGATACACGTCAACATTAAATTGTAACTTAATAAATACAGAGGGGTTTTTCGCCTGCAGTCATAGTCACAGTCACCACGTTTTCTCTGCGACCTTTTCATATGTTTTTTTATGAAACTAATCGGATGATAGCGTGTTTCCATCATGGAATTATGAACTATTTATAAACTTACTTAGGTAGGTAGGTAGGTTGGTGTAACGCACCAAATTAGATGCAATAGACAGATGAAATTGTTCTGTCTGTTAACTTTGTGTTAATTGGTTACCTATTGTGTGTGTGTGAATATCTCTTTTTCTTCCACCAAAGGTACTCTTTCTACTACTGGTCATTCAACTAACTTTGTATTCTCCATTGAAGTTCCAACTGATCAACAGCAAAAACACTGGATTCAACGTGGGGTAGCCTTGTTATGCGCGTTGAATTATTAAAAACCCCAGGCTACGAATTAATCAGAAAACAAAAGAAGTTTTCCTGATAGTCAGTCGTATCTCTTCATAGTATATATATTTATACCCACACATAAAATTACCAGTAAAATACCCTTCCCTATAAAAATTCATCATCCCACCACCAACACATCACATATGTAACGAAAGAAGAACAGAGAGAGAGAGAGAGATAGAGATGAAACTGTGATTGTTTTATTTTGGTATACACCAATTACAGACCTATGTAGACCTCTATGTAGAATACACATAAATATCTATGTTTGTGCAATCGGTTGCACCAAGACACATACCTACCTCACACACAAACACAAACACATAAAGGCACAAAAGCCTATTTTACCATCAACTCAACGCATTAATAATAATAATAATCAGATACATTTAATTAATTAATTAGTTAATTGCCTATTTTACACAAAATAACGCCTATTAAATGTATTATTGTACACCAAATATTGTACATCACAGTGTGTTGATATAATGCAAAAAAGAGAATGGCTCAATCATCCCGGAACAAAACAAACACTAAATAAATAAACATAATGACAATAATAATAATAATAATTTGAAGAAGAGTCAATTTCAAGCACAATTTGTATGTAATAATACACGAAGTACACGAATAAATACAATACCATTAATTAATTAATAAATAAATAAGTATATGTAACAAAAACAACAAAACAAACAAGCAATGATGATGATAATAATAATAAATATAAATATATATAAAAATCTGAGTTTTCAACTATGGTGTCTTGTCTGTTATATGCTCCTCACCTGCCCCCCCCACACACACACACATACACATACACACATATTCACAAAACACGCGGTAGACGACTAATCTTTGAACTGGAACGGATTACCACACTTCGTATTGAATGATACCAGTGAGTCTTGTTTTTTGTTTTTGTTATTTTTTTTTACCTGAGTTAGATAGAGTCCACTTCACACACACACACCAAACTCACACAGATATATGCACACTCACTCACTCAGTTTAATGCTGAAATTTACAATTGAAACCAGATAGACATATGTGTCTTTTCTAAGGTTTACTTATAAAAAAACAAGGTGGACACAGAGATCGTTAAAGAAGAACAATAATGTCAAACACTATTCAATTCGATAATTGGTAATCGTCATCAATCCAACAACATATAATACACTTCTAAACTATTTATAAGCTGAAGACGTTGTTCCATTGGCCACTGAGGATACCAGATGCGAAATAAGAACAATTGAAATTCGAATACAGTAGATGGTGCATGATCGATTTGTAGATTAGAACTAATCAAGTCTGCAAAGAATATATCCGTCAGTATATCGCTGACATTATCATAATGATTGTTTGAATAAGTCGTTGCTTGTGATTCACTAGATAATAGGGGATAGATTTCCTCCAAGTTATCCCATATAAACAGGAATAATTGACGTTGTCGATTATTCCAATGGGAAAACCAATGAATAACCATCCGAACAGCTCGAAATGCAGGTATTCTTATATCCATAGAACAAATGATATTCCAAGTAATTTTCAAACACTATAATATTTATTGGGTTCTTGGTAATTACTTAGCTAGTTAGTTAGATAGGTAGAAAAATCAGGGAAAATTGAAAACTAGTTAGTTATAGGCAATATAATAACACCAAATATTTTTTGTTGGTATCCATCTTAATAACAATAAAAAGATACTGCTCACTACCAGAGCGCTTAATGACCCAGACGGGGAGAATTAAAAGGACAATAAGGAAAAAGACAGCGGGAATAGCAGTGTAAGTTGTCGATACTTTAATTAAGTTTTAATTAATCTTCCTTTGCTCCACTAGTTCCCTATACTACTAGTAAATTACGCAGATAGTTATAATGCATAGTTATGCCCACCTGACTGAATTATCGTTCATTTAAAACAAGCTTGGTACTTTATGGGCACCAAGAGATGCACTGGGGGATACTGTCCGGAGGCCCAGACCGAAGCAGGCGGTTATCTTAAGAGGCCAGACGCCTACCGCCTTTTAACTTAAAGTTTGGTCTACAAGGCAGTGAGTGGGGCAGCTACCTACCTTCCCACGATTACCAGTAACCAAAACAAGCTGATACGCCATCAGACACACTCGGATTGTGGAGATCATGTGCACCATAGGTTTGCAATCACGGTATTTCAGCTCCCCTGAAAATGTCCATCAATTCAGTTATAAGCACCAGACGTTTACATTCACTTTTGCGAAGAATACCCGTGCCGCATGAAGGCAGTGGTAGTATGGCTGAGACAGTGAACGAATAGCTACATAAAGGCATTTCGTGAGGAAGACCGACCCACCCTCTGTCGTATCGTACCAGGTTGTTCATGAGAGGTTGAACGGCTGCTGAATGAATCGAAACAGGTAGTTGAAGTCTTGGTCGACTGGTCGGCTCCATGCAGCATCGTCACAAAAAAGTGATGAAGTTTGAAAATGTACCGAAAGATAAGAGTCTGCTCAGCTTAATTCAATACATACATTCAATACACTAGAGAGAAAAAATGTAAGAATAAATGCGTTTACATCTGTCTGTCTGTCTGTATCTAACAAAGTCTCCCAACTGCTTGCTGATTTTTCTTACTTTCAAGAGACAAACGTGCACACAATTCTGACTACTACTTAAGTCCCATTGATTAATTATTTAGGCTTAGGAGCCAGAGTGATTTTGATCTTATAGTCTGTGTGTAAAAGCCAACGTTTTCGTCTAATGTTATCACTACTACTAATACTATACTACTAGTAGTAGTAAGTACTACGACAACTACTAATTATGATAATAACAAAAACGAGATACACAAAAACAAGAGGATTTCGTAGTCACCTACCGTTGTAGACTCTTCTCCTTGCAGAGGACAAATATGAAATTGTTAAACACTAGCAAAATTAATCCAGTGTACAGACAACAGTTGTGTGTCAAAGACAGTCAGTCCCCTTCACTATAACGATACAAAACAAAAAGAGGAAAACACAACACAATGAATAACAACCATTAAGAGATAGATACAAAAGAAACATCAGGTATGGACAACAAACAGCATCATGAGCTAGCAGCTTAGCAAGGATAAGTTGGCACTAGTATCTATCTCTTGCCACCTTCAACAACACGATGCTATGTGGCAGGTAGGTACTCTGTGAGAGTTGAAAAAAAAACAAATGTTTCTGTTAAATAATATCACGTTTATTTAGATTGGTTTTTAACAATACCTGCTTGTATGGTATGGTACTGATTCTCATTGTGACGAACAGCTAGCTAGATGATAGATAGTTAAATAATATAAACTATATATAAACAAAAATCATATTAAGAAGCAGCAATCACAGCCAATCACTAGCTTTAATATACAAAACAATTCAATACTCTTAAGTACATTACAATTGGAATTTTAACAAAGTATCCAATATGGTGGAAAACAGTCACAAATGAATATTACAGAATGTCGTGTTAATACAAACAGTAGAAATAGACAGTATTTGAAAGAATCCCGGTGGTTATCGTTAAGTTGGTGGTGGTGGTGGTGGAGGGGGGTGGAGAAACAGAAATACGAGAATAAAAATACAACAAAAATGTATGAAAAGAAATTACAGGTGTTGGAACTGCTGCATGTATGCGTGAGTGGGTGCGTGAGTGAGTGAGTGCGTGCGTGCGTGCGTGTCTATGCATGCATGTACTAGTATGTTTGCAAAATAATGATCACTACTCAAAAATAAGTCAGTGTAAATAGGAGGGAAAAAAGGCATAGGATTGCTTCTCTGTTTCAAAAACAAACAATATTAGCAGAAATCATCTACAATGAAATAATCGTGAAAAAATCTAAGTTAGTCACCTACCTACCTACCTCCTCAATTAATTCACACACACACACAACTAAAAACTAAAATATAAAAATATAAGATATCGCCATCAAAATTGAATTGTGAATTGTAAACCTTCTCGAAGAATTTGATCATAACACGCTTGCAGTGTAGTCATTAGATAGGGTAGGAGACCACCACCAATAAGCGATAAGTGTTCCGGTGACAGTTGTTCAATATACGCTAGTTCAGCGCCCAGGTACATAACACCAACCCAGATGACAACAAATTGAATAATCAGCAATAATTGATCAAGTCCAGGCAGCAAGTGAGACAAAGTATCCACTGAGCATATTGATGGATTTCTACAATTCCCCACCTCATCCAGCGATGTTGGAACACGATTCCGGCAAGGCTTACTTTTACTGATAATCTGTTGTTATTGTTGTTGTTGTTAGCCAACACATGCACACAGATTTAATTGGGTAGGTAGAATAAAAAAGAAAGAGGAATAAAGCAAAATAAGAATAATCGTGTAAACAACACGCGTCAAGTACATACTGTTTGTTAAAAAAGTACATGAAAAGTACATACGAACAGAAAATCTCCTGTTCATCAGAACAGTGTGTCTGTCGTTTGTACGAAAGCACTATCTAATCAAGGACATGTGTTACATGTGCCTTGTCATCGCCTTCCTCGACGAGCAGGGCAATGTTAGCTGATATAGGGTCAGGCTGGAAGAGAGCTAGCCAATGGTGGTCAAACCAAAACATGCAACCAGTCAATGAAATCTACAACTGTTAGTCTAAGCCACGTAGGAAGGTGTAGACTGGCTTCCTGACTGGTTGGGGTCCTCGGGACGGTAAAAACCAATGGTTGGAAACAATTGGTGACATGGCTCAAAATCGTTCTCATTGGCTGGTGCAGATGCATCCACTCCCTGTGACTCATGATTTCCAATGAAACTATACTGTTCTTCGTTATTACTATTCCTTTGTCTCACACCTCTGTTTACTGTCTCTCTCTATTATGCATTTCTTCTACTTTCTTGTCTTGCTTTGTGTGCTACATGGAGTGTGGCGACTGGAACTGCCGCACATATGTGCAAAGTTCTATGTCAAAAACAAACAGACAGACAGAACTGCTCGGCCTCAGGTTGACAA